ACAATTTCTTCCTCCAGTTCGTGCTCAGGCTCTATTCAGGGGTCACCACCACGTCCTCCCAATGTGCGTACTAGCGACTCGCTGCTTAGGGAGGATGAACAGGCCTCAAGGAAGCGGGGCGGGACACAGGCACCGGTAGGGCCCCCTGGCCCAGCAGCGGAGGACCCCTTGGGCTTTCAGCTGCGTGAAGCTAGGTCTGTTCAATAGCGACAGCTAGTGGTCACTCTCTGAAGCAGGGTTCTCTGAGCCTCACAGGGAAAGAAATGTCAAGACAGACTTTTTGGCTCTGAGTGGAGGCGGACTTATATCCAAAGACGTTCTTGGATAAAATGGCATGTAGAAAACCCAAACTCTTTAAAATGATGTTCGAGGGCCTTGGCTACCTTCCCAGCCACGTCTTAGGCCACCCGTCCCTGCTTCTGATTCCCCTGGGGCAGGGACCTGCTGACTCCCTGAAGGCTTCCTGCAGCTCCTGCCGTGCTTTGCCCTTGTCGCCTCTCTGCCCCAAATGCTCTTCATTCTCCCTGTTGTCTGCTCAACTCCTGCTCATCCTGTAAGACTCAGTTCAACCAGTACCTCCTCTAGGAAAAATTCCTTCCCTTCCACCAGAGCCCACCCCTCAAGGCTGGGGTAAGTGCTCACCCCGCCCAGTCCTGTGCCTCTATTATTTTCTGCATTTTTCTATCACTTGAATTCGCTACACTCTCAATGTGCCTTTAAAACAGCTTTATGTAACCACATAAAGGGACTTACTGTATTTTACTCACTGTTGCACCCCTAGTACTGAACAGAATCTTGGCACATATAAGATATTTGGTTAATGTTTGCAAAATAAAGGATTCATAGGCCCTAGTCCTGGGAAAGGCTTCAGAGGAAACTGAGACCCTGAAGACAAAACAGCTTTGCATTTAAAGGGAGAGATGTAGATGGATCTAAAATTCATTTCACAGATTCTAGCCCATTACTTTCTTCTAACTCCCAGCAGCATGGAGCCCCCAGACTGTACAGAGAGCCTTTCACCCCTCAGCAGCTCTCCCGACCTTGTCCTTACTAGCAATACCCTAAATCCTGGCTCTGTGGCTTTCTGCCCACCTCCTGCACGACTTCTCGCCAGAACTAAACTGATTCTTCATGAAATGCTCCGGCATACCCACTCCTGGAATTTTATCTTAAAGGAAACATCTAAAAGAAGAAAAAACACAACCGCATGCTTGTTTGCAGCGCTGTGTGTAAAAGTTAAAAATTAGTAATGACAAAAATATCCATAGAAATAAAATAAATTCCTCCATATAATCTCCATATGAATAGAATTATCAATCACATCATGCAAAAACTAAAAAGAGTATTACCACATTAGAATTTGTTGGGTTTTATTTACTTCGTTTTATTACCAAACATTTCATAGGATTTACTGTATTCAGGCACTGTTCTACTCTATGAATATTAACTCACTTAATCCTCAGAATAGCCCCATGAGGTAGAAGTTATTGCAATTCCCATTATTTATTCCCAAACATATTTGGTTTGGTCTCCTATTAATAGAAGTTAAATGGCCTACAAGACACTTGTTTGGGAGGACATGTCAAATATTTTTCATTGGTATAGAGCGTCACATTCTTATAAGAACTCAGTCAGTTGACTTGAGTTGAATGAATTTAAAAACTTATATATTTCTATTTTTGCCATCATTCCATACATGGAGAGGTTCCATATGCCTATTACTCTTTTGAAGTGATGATTTGAAATGCTTTTTGACCTATGAATATACTTATGAAATTATAGCAGATACAATGCATTGACTCACTGAAACTATGCCTCCATTTTTATACAACCACAGTTCTGAGTGAAGATCCCTTTCAGCATAACCATTAAGTCCCAAGAGCAGATGCTCCAAACGCAGGTGCTGCTACAACAGTAGTCATAGCTAGCATTTGCTGAATGTGTTATAAATGTTATATCATGTAATCCTAAAATAATCCTGTAGAGTTGGTACTATCATTATAGCCGTCTTACAAAGGAGGAAACTGAGATGCAAAGAAATTAAAAAGTTTACTGACCTGAAACAGGCAGTAAGTGGTAAAGCAAGGCTTTCAACCCAGGGAGTCCCACTTCTGCGGGCCTCTGATCTACTCAGGGCCCTGTGCCTCAGCAACAGCCTTGGAGAGCAGGTGGCAGACCTCATTTATGAAGTATTCTTGTTACTAAATTGAAAGTTATCACAGCTCTGAATTAATTATAGAAAATTAATATAACATATATCTAGTAAATTATATTTACAACAGTTCATAGTTATCCTCAGTAAGGCTAGGTAAACATGGCTGCTGTTTAATAAGGAAATTATTAAACAGATTGTGGCATACTAACATTATGAAAGATCATGACAACACTAGAAGGTGAAAATATAAAAAATATAAAAACACAAAAAATATTTGTAATGTATCAAGTGGAAAAACAAACACAAATCCTAGGTTCACTGCATTTAAAATAGGTAAAAGACAAAGATTCACTGGGGTGATAGGATTAAGGTGTTTATTTTGGCCATTTAAAAAATTCCTTTAATGCTACCATACTACAATTTTTATAAAACTGAAAAAAGAATATCTGAATGTTTTCTGACCCATTTATCCGTCAATCTGCCTTCATTATTAGTCTTCAAAGCGTGCCACTAAAATGCTCTCTCCAGAGCAGGCTCACAACAATCAACTATGTCAGCGCTTTGGTGAGATCAGTATTGGTTCAATTTTGCTACATCAATTTAAATATTCCTTGTTATAGATAACAGACTGTGCTGAGTAGAAAACAGATCAGAAAGGTAAGTGTGGAAATTTGTAAATGTATAGAAAAGGCTCTGGAGGCTATTTCAGTTTGGAATGTGAAGCCATCTGTGAAATAATTGGGATAGTTTATAACAAAGGCTGTGGCAAGAAATGACAATTTAAACAAGGAAGGAAAATCGCTAGTTTCGGAAGGAGAATAATGCTATTCAATAACCTCATTTTACGAGAGAGCACACCTCTCTAGAGTTAACAGCTTTCCGGAGATGCTCTCAGAATTCACACTTAAGCAAAGCCTCCTGGCTGTCCGGGAGATCATGAAAGAACAACATATACATAAATGAAGTAAAGTAAGTGGAAGTACATTCGAATGACTGGAAGCTTCATATTTTTGATATTTGTTAAATGATTTTTGGTAATTTATGTAAGTACATGGTTTTTAAATAAATCATGTGGCTTTTTAGTGATAAACTAGGAGTTCTCAGAGTCCTGTTATCGGACAACTCACACATGCTGGGGAACAGCAGGGTAGTACTTTAACCGAGCCCTAAAAAGAAGTAATTTTTAAAGTTTATAAAGGAGTACTGCATACCCAGGGGACAAGTCATTACGCTACCTGACTCAAAGATAAGCTTTGTTTTACATTGTGGCAAGCCCAGGGGGGGCAGAATTTGAAATGAAGTCTAAAGGGGAGGAACGGAGCTGCTATGAGGATTAACATATGGTATTTCTTTATGTCCAAACAGATCAGCTTTCCTCTTTCCTGTGCTGTCTGTTCTATAATACACCACACACACACACACACACACACACACACACACACACACACTCACTCACTCACTCACTCACACTCACTCTCCCTTCCCAGGCCTGAGGTCTCATCATGTCAGAGCCCCTCAAGGTCCAAGCCAGTGAGACCTGGTCTCAAGGTCTCAAGACCCTAGGATGAAAAGTAACTTGTCTTTCTCAATGTTGGACCCCACAAGAATGGGACGTTATTGTGCCTTGGGGTTTGGCCCTTCAAAATCTTAACGTCTGTATGACAGATCTCTTGCCAACACTGATCATCGCTTACAGCATAACTTTGAGGTTTATTATACTAAAAGGTCCTCTATCAACAGTGATGACGCTAAGCAACCAAAGAGAAGAAGAGGACTGAGAACTCTGGCCGCAAGTGTGAAGTCGTGACTCCACTGTAGAAGCAAGCTTTGCAAATGTCACAGTTAAGGAAATATTTATCTTCCCCCTAATGGGTTTAGGTTGTATTACGGCCAAGAGTGATTATTTGTCCTTGGGAAGTCTGTGCGGACATCTGATTAAACAGTTACCACCTGGACACTTGGCAAACTAAAAAGGAGAGTCTGCAAGTCACTCTCTGGGAAGGCCTTGAATGGGAGCAGATGTTAATAAGCCCCCACTGCCTGAGCCTTTCTGCAGGACTTGGAGCTCCAAGTCCTCCCCCACTGACTCCTGCCACCTTTGCAAAACTTGGGATGCCAAAGGCTACCATGGACAATCCTATAAAGAGTGAATATTCTTCTAGAATATTCTAGAATGAATTATGCTAGAATGAATAACTTAGATTTGAGGAATGCATCCAACAACTGTATTGGGTGGGCCATTCAGACAAGGTGAATTGCACAGTTTACAAAGCTACTCAGTTAACTTGTTCTAACCCAGTTCTCTCTCCGTCTTATTCTGAACTTCTTGGGAATTTCCTGACAATATCACTTGTAACAGTTTCTTTTCAATCCACACAGATCAGTTCCTTTCTTAGTTTTCCCCCCAAATTTCCTAGTCCAATTGACTTCTTTTAAATAAGATTCTGCCTGCAATTGCTCCCTTTATTCCCCAGCCACCCACTCACCACTCATCACTTCAGAAAGGGGTGAATTCAGAGCTGGCTTCATTCCAGAATTCTGAAAAAGATACTGGGCACTTTAGAAGAGCAGAAACTTTATAACCAGGATTGAGAAAAGGTAACTAAAAAGAAAAGGAAATTAAAAAGCCATTTCTCCCCCCTCCTAGAATTGCACGGTTTGAATCTGACCCAGAGACCCATCCCTGTCTGCTCCTGGAGAGGGCTCTTGACTTGAAGCTGTCTGAGAACTCGGACCATCCAACAGCAAGAGAAAGGGCGCTGGGGTGCCCACTGGGGGGAGGAGCTCCTGGGCCCAGCCCTGGAGGCCCCAAGGGCTCAGGGGCCCACTCAGATTGTGCCAGAGAGCAAGAGAGAGGAACTGGGGTGAGCAAGCATTGCGGCTTTGTCTGTTTCCTGTTTCAGTAAGGCTGCTGTGCACAAAGAAAGACAGCATTAAGAAGGGAAATGCTAAGGGGGCCCAGAGCCATGGACTAAGAGCTTGCACTTCACTTATCTGCTGTCTTGCTCCTTCTGAGACCAGAGCCAAGATCTGCCCAGGAGCTGGAATGCTTTCCTGAGCTGCTTGGGTTGGAGCCTGGGACCTGAGGTAACTGTGGAGGATGCTTCTGTGTCCAGGTTGGGGACATCTGGCTCTGGGGTGGGGCAGAAGATGCTCTATCATCCAAGCTTTCCTGAGCTAAACAGGGAGACACAGAGTGGACGGTGTCGGTTACGAATGTTGGGGGTTGGGTAGCTAGGAAAGTGCCTGTGTTGGTTTCCAGAGGCCGTACCCACGGCATGGAGCTCAGCTTCCAGCACTCCTCTGTTCCATCCATTACATTAGATGAGGAGTGAGTCAAACGACTTCGGGCTCAAGCAACCCAGTAACAGGGGCATGAGTTAAATGACTTTTCACAGTTCTCTTTGAAGTAGGAATCCCCACAACAAAAGCTGCCTTTCCAGAAGCTTAGGTGAGGCCCCTTTCTCTGCTCCTCACACCCAGTGCTCTGGACTAGGACAGCCAGACCCAAGCAGGAAGCTATTCGTTGCACACACAGCCCAGAAGTAGGCTCAGAGCCTTGGAAAGGCAGCCCCAGATCACTGTCAGGTACAGGCAGCACCCGACCTCTCCCTGCAGCACTGCACCCCGAGCCAGTCCACCTGGTCCCCAAGCTCCAACTGGGCCTCAGGCAAGCACCAAAGGGCCCCACAGATGCCAGAAAGCCTGGGCAGTGGCCCAGTGACCTTTCTTTGAACCACACAGAAACCAGTTCCTTTTTCTTCTACAGCCCATCCCTTTTAGTCAGCCTTCCCACATGGCTCATTGTGATTAACTAAATCAGGTCAAGACACCCCAGAAACTGGGTATGATTCTGCTCAGCCGAGTGTACGAAATCCGACCCAGTGTGAGGGCCTAGGGGTCTGGGAACTCTCCCTTCCCTACGGAGCCACTTCTACGGCAACTCCCTGCTTGGGTAATCAGTGCCAGTGTCTGCCCCAGGAGGCTGAGCAGGGCAGCTGTGGGCTTCAGTGCGCTGGGTACACAGCCTGGTTGAGAACCCCGAGACCTTATCCCAGGTTCTGTCTCCTCCCCCACAGCCCTTTCCCCCTCACAGCAGGAAGGTAGGGGAGGATTCTCCATAACCAGAGGGTCTGCCTCCTATGCAAAGCCTGTGGATTACCTAGAGCCAAACAGGAAGGGGACCTAGCACCCCACATTTTAATCGTGGGATGCAGGTAGGGTGGCCACCAGTTCTTCACCCCATCCTCTCTTGGCCTTTCTGCCAGGCCTACCTGAGTTGCTGATTGTGTCCAGACCACAGAGAAGTCCTTTCTCCTTGCAGCCCACACCCTGAGGTCAGATGAGCCAGAGTGTATTTACATAGGATTTCAGTCCAGGACCAACATCCCCACCATGTGGCAAGCAGTGCCCCCTCAAGGAGAAAGGGGTGGGAGCACTACAGAACAAAGTGTCCCTGGTCCTGGAGTGCCAGGCCAGCTTGGGGCCTTTGCCTTATAGCACCAGGTATTTAATATCCAAGATCAGCAGACAGGGGTAATAATAATCATAGTTTATGTTTATTATTATGAAAAGCTAACAAAAACGTAGTGTGTACTATGTGCCAGATACTTGATATGAATTTTTTCTTTAATCTTCATAACCTCACAAGGGAGGTTCTGGTCCCATCTTATAAATGAAGACATTGCAGCCTGAAGATATTTAATAGCTTGTCCAAAAGCACGTAAGTAGTGGGTGACAGAGCCAGGCTGTGAATCCACACAGTCTGAGGCCCAGCCAGGGTTATCCCCTGCCCCTTTCTGTGGCAGAACAGCCAGGGGCTATGGCTTAGGGTGCCACAGTGTAGATTTTGGACATGGAGTTCACCTGCATATAATTCCGAGTCTCCTCCATTCAACCATTCATAACTTAATATCGAATGGGCTTCTCAGATCCTTTTCTAAGTTTTTAAATAAAGGAGGTGACAGGTGGAAAGTCTACCCTATAGAGTAGGAGTAAGGAGAAAAGCCTAAAGAAAGGAGAGAACCCCCCGAGGATGGGACAAGAGGACAAGACAAGCATGGATGACCTCAACAGTCCTGCATGGGGTCAGCTCTGCCAGAGCCCAGAGTATGTGCCCCTCCAAGCCTCGAGTCCGCATTGAGAGCATGCAGGGCTTGACTGTGGAAGACCCCTCTCAGGGAGTGAGACTGCCGCACCCAGGACCCTGGGAACGAGCAGAATGATGAGAGAGAGCAGGAAGCCTGCAGAGAAATTCCATACGGAGCCAGGATGGGCAGCAAAGTCCCAGTGAAGGCGGAGAGGCTACTACCTGTTGAGTGTGTTTGACCTATAAACAAACCTGAGGGGCCAGATCTGGCAAAGGCCTGCTGGTTGGTGAAGCTGAGACACCCTTGTCTGACTTCCCCAGGAGCTAGGTTCCCGGAGTGGTGGGTAGTGGGCCGTGGGGCACAGCAGAGAAGCGGCCGCTGTAAAGGTGAGTCCCTCTTCCCTCATCAGTCCTGGGCTGACTCCAGTAAGCAGTGGAGGCAGGGCGCAGAATGGCCAGAACTCAGGATCCAGCTCAGCCAAGTCCAGCACCAACTCAGCCAAGCGGCCAGACGGTTCTAGGAGAATAAACAAATCTGCAGAAGGTAGATGAGGGATAGTTGGAGAGGGGGAAGGGAAGGGGTGACACGTGTGGCCTCTATGCCAACACTGGTTCCCTGAGGACTCGTAGGTACTGTTTTGTTTGTTTTTGTTGCATTTTTGTTTGTTTGTAAAGGCCTTAGTAAGGTATAATCCACGTGGTTGCTGGTTTTGATGACACCATCTGTGTCTAGGCGAACAAAAGCTGACTTGGCACCATACTTAACTAACAGGGAGGTGATTCTAAAAACAAATGGAATCCTCAACTTGGAGAGTGATTGACGGAAGTTATGTAATGGGCTCCAGACAGCACTGGACAGACAGTAGGCACTCAGCCAACACTCAAATACAATTTGAGTTTATCTGCACCTAGAGTCAGAGCCGAGGCCTTGGGAGTAGGTTGCCAGTGTCTGAGCTTCATGACCGGAGGAATCATGGACCAGGACAGACCCACAGCCAGTTGCTAAGAGTGCAATAGGCTAAGAAGTGAGCAGTGGGTGCAGGTCACATGACTGGCCATCTTGGGGTCTGGTTATCCTTCCAGGCCAGAAGAGTCACTCACCTACTTCAGTAACAACTTGGGCCAAGAGATGCTACTTTCCTTTTAGATTAGGAAACATGAAGCCAATTTAACTGGTTTCCTAAGAGTCCCTGGAAAATGAATACATCCCCTCTGCCATCCAAAAGGCTATAAGCTCATGACAATTTTTATCAATTATTTCTTAGAGGCAGGGTGAGATGTCAGTCAAGGAAGAAGTGGTAGCCAGAGAGATATTCCCACTTTGTAGAGGAAGAGACACAAGCCAGAGAAAAGCAGACGTTAGTATAGAGACTAGACCCAGGAGTCCTGACTGCCAGTTTGACACCATCACCTCCCCAGTTTTCAGCCCACATGTATGGGATGGTGTGCTATTTCTGCCCCCTCGTCCAGGGAGACAGTCATTTTTCTGCCCATCTCCTGACCCCTCCCTTTCCCCTCCCTCCTGGTATTTGGCAGACCCAGGCAGCTATTCCAGGAACTGGAAGCCAAGCACAGCAGGTGCTCAGGAGGTCATCATGATCAGCCCAGACCCCAGGCTTTCCCCCGGCCGAGGCCGGTGGGCTGAGAGCTACGAGACCAAGTATGAGCGCCGGCAGGAGACCCGTGAGAGCCGCCGCTGCCGCCCCAACGTGACCACTTGCCGCCGCCAGGTGGGGAAGGCACTCAGGACCCAGCAGAGAGAGCAGTTCCAGAGGGCACGGCAACAGCAGTTCTTCAGGAGGAGGAACCTGGAGCTGGAGGGGGAAAGCAAGGCCCAGGCCCCCAGGGCCAGGGCGCAAGGTCCCTCCAGGAGGACAGGCCAGGCAGCCGACCCCAGGGAGCCCTTGTCTTGGGCCAACAGGATCTCTTCCCCCAGACAGCAGGTGGGCCACGGCAAGGGACACACTGCTTTGGCGGTGGGGGCGCGGTGTGGGGGACGTTTCAGGCAGGTGGGTGGGCTCAAGGTCACTGAAAAGTGATTTGAATTGAGTCCCTTCATCCTCAGTCATGTAGTGAAGTCTCCCTTAACCACTTACTCATTCAAAAGTTCTTGTGTTTTTCATTAGTTTTGCTATTTTTTCATACTTGCCTTTTAGGAGAGAAAATAATAATTTTAGAAGTAATTCCACAACTAATCCCTAGTATCAGTGCAAATTTAGACAATCTATACATATCATCGGCAGCATTCACTCATCCTTAGTTCAACAAATGAATGCTTCTTCTATACCAGGTACACAAACCGGTCTTCCTGATGCCCCTCTCAAAACACACATCTCTCCTTTATTCTTCTGTGAGGCTGTTGGCCCCACCAACCTTCTCTCTTTCCCTTGGACCATTCCAATTGCACTAAATTCACTCAGCTAAGGTCTCTTCTCATCCAGGAAGCCTTCCCTGGCTTCTCCGGGCCACCTCTGCTTGCTGTGGTCCTTGAATCCTCTAAATCCTCTAAGTCCTATAAATCCTCTATGACTGTGTAACTCTTAGAGGACCCAATCGTCTGCGCTAGGAAGCAGGGTTGGCAAAAATCAGGGTATGTTGAAATGATCTCAGCCAGCAAACCATCTGTGTCTTCCTGTCCATCTTGTGGGCATGCTGACAGAGGGATGGGTCCCCTGTATTCTCTGCAAGTGCCTGGCATTGTACTGCACTCAGAGAAGGTGCTCAGTCAGGGCTTCTTAACCAGTGGCTCTGTAATCCACAATAGGAGGTGCTGTTCAGAAAAATGATCTTTGAGCCCGGCTGTAAAATAAATCAGCTGTGCGCTTCTGGGGCAGGAAGGTTCCTGAATGCTTCTTGTTGAAATAAAAAAAAAAATTAGGCAGAAAATACAATTGACTAGAGAATTACACCTGAGCCTACCAGTCATTCAGTGTTTTGTTGAGATCGAGTCAGTCTGCATGATTGATACCACAGGCATTTCTTAGACTTGTAGTGTCATATTACAAACAGAAGTTTTGATTTCGTAAGAAGAAAATACAAAAAGAGCGAACTAAGTGGGGACAACTGCAACTCTACCCCTCCCTGTAAACCCCTCCTCTACCTGCTCCCTTCTCTTTGCGCAAAGCCTCCGAGGAAGGTGGCCATCTCTAGGAGGAGGAGGGGACCTTGAGGCCGTCCATTCGAAACTCCTCGTCACTCCGCGGGAGGGTGAGACCTAGAGAAGGCAGGAGCTGAGCCCAGATGCCCTCACTCCCGACTCAGGCCCATTCTCTTTCCACATCGCCACGCAGGCGGCGTGACGGGCTGAGGCCAAACGAGGTAGATCGGGGATTGTGGAGGCTAAATGGAGACAAGCCCAGCTCCCCTCTGCCAGGCCTGAGGCCATTCCCACACCAGCACAAGAGAGGGAAGAGCAGGGGCAGCCTTGTAGCTCTGAAGGCTTGAATGGGTTACTTGGGTTTTCAAATCGTTGGTTCATCTTTCCACAATCAGCTGGAGAACCGTGTTCTAAGAGGCTTGAAGATCTCAGCATCCCCCACTTGCTTTCCAGGTGTCAGGACCCATCTCTGAGATCTTTCCAACAGCGCATCATCCTCCCTTGGGCGCCTGGAGCAATCCGGCTGACCGCCTCCCCTCCCAGGCTGGAGGCCTTCCAGCACAGGGCTCGCCCACCAAGAAGCCCCCCAGACACCACCGTGGTGAGCACAGAGCCTCCATCCCTCACTGGGGCCTGCAGAGACTCCTGCCCAGGCCACCTCTGCTGGCCCGCAGTGGGGAGTCCCCTGGGTTCTGAATCACCTTGTCCTCTCTCTCTCAGGCACTCAGACAAAGGCAGACGGAACACAGCCAGCAATTAAGAATGATGCCAGCCAGCAAACCAAGTGAGTGCTTTCATGTTCCTGACCCCAACTCGTGCACAGCCCCTTCATTCCTCCCTTCCAAGCGTTTACTTGAAAGCCCTCACCCAGTACGAGGAGAGGGAACATGGTGCATCTCCGTGCCTACTAAATTGAGAAAGAAGACCTTTCCCACCCTACTGGCTCTTCAGAAGAGATCAGAGAAGGAGTCATTCCACTGCCTTGTCCTGAGGTGCTTGTTTCTTTGAGCCATTGTCATTTTTGTTTTTATTTCTTCTCTTCCCAGTTATGGAGTTGCAGTTCTAGATAAGGTAAGAAATCTTCACCTTGAAGGGGTTGAATCAGATGTTATCTAAGCTGCTCCAGGTTCTGACACTCTGGAATCCCGTGGTAAACCCAGCTGGGATGGAGGGACACCTTCTCCTGGGCGAGCACAGACACGGGGCCCTGGGGGGACTCTAAGTCAAGGAAGAAAGCTGACTTGACACAAACCGATCCCGGCTCTGCTTCCGTGTCCCAGGATTTCAGGGGCCTACAGTCTCCTTGAATAGCCCTTTTCTTTCTCTCTAGGAGATCATCCAGCTTTCTGAATACCTCACGGTAAGTGACATGAGAGCACCCCCCTCGGCTGCTCCATCCATCTAGGCCATCTTCCTCTAGGTTAATCTTACCCTCTTGCATTTTGTCCCCCAGGAAGCCCTGCATAGAGAGCTAGTTCTAAAACAGAAAATGGTGATTCTCCAAGACCTGCTGTCCACCCTGATACGGGCCTCTGACAGCTCATGGAAGGTAAGGAAATGAAATCTTTATTTGAACAAAGCTGACGGGCATCTCTCACTGCCCATTTCATTCTTCTTTCCATGCCATCCCCGCAAGAGAAGGGGTTTTCTCACGGCTGAAGAGGCAGGAGGCGGGGGATGATGCTGAGACCTAGAGGTCAAACATGTCACAGTAAATATATGGGGGACTTGGCTAAATCTGGACTCCTCAACTGAGGGCCATGTTGCTGCAACACCCAGGGAAGACCCAGAACCAAAAGGGGCAAGAATTCCTTTTTTTTAATTTGTTGGAAGAAAAGAAGGATGATTCCCCTGACTGTGGTGACTGTCAACTATTTTTGTATGGAATTCACACCAATATTAAGTCCAAGCCATCATGCAGCTGCTACTCAGCCCAGACATAAATGTCAGTGGGAGGAGACTAGAGATCATCTAGTCTAATTTTCTCATTTTGCCAATGAGGAAACAGTGTCAGAGAGGTCAAGGGACTTGCCCAAAGTCACGCTGCTAGTTGGAGGCAGAACTGGAACTAAAATTGAGATCTTCTGACTTTCGTCCATTCATTCAACAAATATTCATAGGTCATGTTCTCTTTATTAAGCACTGGAAATATTAAGATTAATTAGACAGTTTTCTTGCTTTTAGAGGGCTTGTGGTTTTATCAGGGAGACAGATGCCTAGACAATGCAGAGAAATGAGAAATAAAAGGTGTGTTTTCAGGATATGTAGTATACAAAAAGGAATGAATAGAGAAAAGAGAGCCAGGGAGATATTTAGTTATATAGGCATTTTCTGGGCAAATGTGGAAGCAGGAACTATATTCTAGGCAGAGGACAGAGCACAGGTAAAGACCCAGAGACATGGTATAAACTAATACAATGGGTCTCCAACCTTTTAATCTCAGGACCCATTTATTCTTTTAAAATCTATTCTCATTATTTAAAATACTTTTAAAAAGTATTGAAAGCCCCAAAGAATTTTTTAGATTTATAGTATTACAATTTACTATATTAGAATTAAAACAGGAAACTTAAAATATGTATTCATTTTGAATTATAATAGTAAATCCCTTACATGTGAGCCTAAACTATATATTTTTATGAAAAATAACTATATTTGCTTCTGCATTTAATCTGTTGTAATACATTATTTTGGTTGAAGCATAGGAGAAAAATCCAGACTCTCAGATATGTAGTTGGAAAAGGGAAGACTTCACAGATCCTTTGAAAGGGTCTCAGGGATTCCCAGGGGTCCTTGGGCCTCACATTGAAGCCGGGAGATGAGCGTGTTCAGGGAACTACAAGCAGTTGGACGCCACTGGAGCATAAAGTACCACGTGCAAAGAGAGAACAAATAACCTCAGGGGCCTCCCTGAACATCTGGCCCTGCCACATAGACGGCTTGTGCTTAGACAGAGAGGTGGAATGGAAGGGTGCAGAACAAAACTGAGAAGCTGAAGCAATGTGTAGACTTCCGAAGCTCAGCCCTCTGTCCCGCCATTAGTCATTGGACCTGGACTTGTCCATGTTCAGGGCTCCTGACTACTAAGGAAGCCGTTTTCATTAGCAGGACAGGAGCCTGGGACAAACCAGGTAGTTTCTGGTGTTGAACTAAATAAACTCATTTATTCAACCGACATTTGATCAGTTCCAACTATGCCTCGGGCCCTGTGCTAGAGGGACAAAAAGAAATGGAGGAGGAGCTAGCCTGTTTGCCAGGGAGAGCCATGTAATAAAGAATTCTTCTCCAGTGTGACAAAGCTACAACAGCAGTTTCCACAAAGTGGCACCGAGAATAGAGGAGGGGGCAATTCCTCAGTCGGAGCTGGAACAGGGCAGGCTCTGAAGGAAAGGGGCCACTGTACTGGGTCCAGAGGCATGGGTAGGACTTTACCAGCCCAGAAACAGGAAGGATGGTGGGGAATAAAAAGCCGAAAGGAAAAGGATGTTTAAGGTCAAGGAATCAGAATGATTATAGCAGGTGTAACAAAGCGTTGGGTGTAGCAGAGTGTGGCTAAAATGAAGGGATCATGATGGACAGTGACTGTAATGGGGTTTGTGGGGGGGACTTGGTAAAGGGGGGAGCCTAGTAAACATAATGTTCTTCATGTAATTGTAGATTAGTGATACCAAAATAAAATAATAATAAATTAAATAAATAAAATGAAGGGATCATGTTCAAAGATAAAACCAGAAAGGGGCTCAGACAGGGCTCTAGAATTATGAGGCCTCAACTTTCTCTGTTGAGCAGGGTATTTTTAACTTAAATAATACGTAGATTCCCTTTTAAAGGAAAAACAAGTGTATCACAGGTCTGGGAGAATGCATGCTACCCCCAGTTTGAGAAATACTGCTCCAGGCAGGGTGGCGGTGGGATGACACTTGATTGGGGCTTAAAGTCATGTACTCACAGTGTCTGGCCTGTGCTGCACCCCTGCCCTGCTAAGTACATGTTCCACTGACAGCTGAGGAGTTGTCCTCACTTGGGCAGCATATACACTCAAATAGCTGCAGAGTTAAGCTGGAAGACAGCGATCAGGTCTGTGTTCTAACAGGAGGAGCCTAGCCCCGGGTTGGGTAGGAGGGGTGAGAGCCCTTGTAATAATACTCCAGGTCAGATACAACCAGAACCTGAGCTGTAGCGAGCATGGCGGGCACATGGAGAGACATCTCCCAGGCTGATGAAGGGGCCTCTCACTCCCTTCTCCAGCACAGAAGCCCCTCTGGCTGAGGTTTGCTCCCTGCCTTCTTCCACCTCTGCTAAGACTCACATTTCTTTCCTTTCTCCTCCCCACCTCCCCACCCCAGCTTCCTGTTGGTGAGAAAAACAGTCTCAGATTTTTCAGTTAAGAGCTCTTGCTTCCCCAAAACAAGACAATTCAACCTTCTACCCCCTCCCATGGAAACTTCAACTTCAATGAAATGCCAGCCCCAGACTGTGGTATTTGGGGAAAAGAATGGAAGAAAGTGACCAGAACAGGGACTCTGACATTCGGCCCAGGTTAGGCCTTTATTTTTTCCATTTGGCCTCCATGATTTGAATCTCCAGCTTCACATTTGGAGAAGCTCACTGCAAACTCTTAGACCCTCGAGGGCCTGATCCCTCACTGCCTCCCCCTCCAAGATGACCCTGGGCCTCCAGGATGCTGACACCCCTGAGCTGGGTCCGACCTTCAGAGCAGACACAATTCGAGCAGTAGAGAAAGCAAGCTCAGACTATCGGGCAATACAAAAGCAGCAGCAAGGCACACTTGGGTTTTTGTTTTAAGTTCTGTTAAGTGGAAATGAGATCTTGAGATGACAGCACAGCAGGGGATTGGCTGCAAGCCCTGAGCAACCTCTGCTAGAGCAAAGAGATGAGCCAGCCATGGGCTGACGCTTCTGAGGTGAGGTTGTAGTGTTTCTGGAGAACAGATCAGAAGCAGGGAAAAGACAAGCAGGACGGGAGCTGAAGCCCTCAGACCAGCACCAGATGTGCGTGGCCTCCACCTCACTCCCTTTTCCAGCTGCAGGTACTATGCTCTCTGAGCCCTGGGCTCCTGGGGGTGGCAGGGGAGTGGAGGGAAGGACAGGGGGGACAACTGCCCAAGAAAGTCCCCAGTAGGCCTGTAAAAAGTGCTTCTCCCTTGATACCGTACCACTGGGCTTCACGCGCTGAGAGCTGGGACGCAGACCAGGAAACAATATGCCCCATTTGCAACAGCTTGGCTGCAGCTTTCCTGCACTCCTTGGGGAGTCTGGGAAAGCGGAGCTGTGGAGAGGGATTTTGTTTTTAAGGCCCTGACTTGGGTGGCCCTTCCTTCCCACTGAAAGGGCTATCCTGAATTGTCTTCTGCAACATGACTGGAAAAGTAATCTGGGGTGTGGCTAAAATACAAAAACAGTTGGAAGAGGCAAAGTATTGGATTAAAACCATCCTAAAGAGGGAGTGGAGCTACCCACAAGAAACAGGTGACAGGGGAGAATGAACTATTGCCTTGGGCTTGTCTGTTTTCTTTGCAAATTATAGCAAGATAAACCTTAAACTCAGGGGGTTAGATTGCATTCTTCATAGTAAGAGGTTTAAGGCAAAGGAAAATCTGAACAATGGGATGGGGTGCAGAGGGTGTTGATTTCAGAACCTGGGAATAAACAATGAACATGCCCCTCAGGAAAAGGCATCACTTTGCAGTTACTCCAAACCCCAGAACAGGGAAAGTCTTTGTCCATCTCTTTTATCTGTCCCAAAGCCCTTGGTATTATTGTAGATGCCAAATCCCTGATTCTTGGATCTCACACGAGACATTATGAAAAACATTATGAAGAACTTTGAAAAATTATTTTTGGCAAAGCCTTTTGCTTTTGCAAAGCCCAGCTGAGTAACACAGGAAGCAGAGAGGGTGGGGGCGCCCCCTGGCTCCCATGGTTAGAAGAATCAGCCAAACAGATCAAAACAGGAGCTGTTGAGATACCACTTCCTGCCTCCCCCAGGTGCCCAGAAACTCACTGAGGGGAGGCAGTCTCCCCCCTCTGCCCCCAGGCCATTTTAGACTCTGAGGAGGAATGTCATTTCTAGGCCTCAGAAGCATCCTACAAGGCCTGGCTGGACAAAGCCAAAGAGACTAAATGAAAATCTGTTAACTGCTGAAGAGACCCACAACCTTTTCTCTAGGAAACTAGCTGTCATTGGTGGCGCCCTGCCCTCTCTCACCCTCTCACACACACGACCTTAAATCAGACTCAGGTCTGGAGGGACAAAACCCCTTCCTGGGAAGAAGGGAGAAGCCTGCAGGAGGGAAGGACAGAGCAGTAAGGAAGCTCCCAGCTACTCAGCTGGAGTACTGAAGCACCAAGGGCCAAGGAGGGCCCTTCCGGCCTGCCTTTCTCCATCCTCGCCCTTGAAATTAGCATCTCTACTGGAAAGGCCAAAATGCCATTAGACAGACCCGCCTTGTGGATAATAGAATGTGGTGTTCTGGGAAGCCCTTTGCCGCCACCACCACCACACGCGTGCCCGTGCACATACACACGCACACCCATGCCCTAATAACACTCCTCCGTTTCTTGCTTTCTTAAAGAATGTCTCATCTTGAGTCCGGTATGTGTGTGGGGGGGGGCAGGGGGCAGGGCGGAAATGTATTCGTTTGCTAGGGCTGCTATAACAAAGCACCACAGACGGAGTGGCTTAACCAGCAGAAATGTATTTTCTCAGAGTTCTGGAGACTAGAAGTCTGAGATCAAGGTTCTGGCAGGGCTGGTTTCTCTGAAGGCCCCTCTCCTTGGCTTGCAGATGGCCCCTTGTGGCTGTGTCCCCTTAGACCCTCTCTTTTGTGCATGCCCATCCCTGATGCCCTCTTCTTCTTATAAGGACACCAAACCTATTGGTTTAGGGCCCACCCCGATGGCCTCATTTTAACTTAATTACCTCTTTAAAGATCCTATCTCCAAAAACAGTCACATTTCTAGGTACTGGGAGTTAGGATGTTAATGTATATCAATTTACTTTTTTGAGGGGTGGGTGGTGAGGGGATGGTTATGGGGATACAATCCAGCCCATAATGGGGGAAGGGAGGGAATTTATATTCCCTGGGTGGGGAGACCCCATTAGTCTTATTGGCATATACATTAGAGGTAAAGTTCTATGTACAAGACTGAGAGGAGTTGCAGAGTACAGAAGTGTCTAGGCAGACAGGGGAGAGAGGTCATGAGGGAAGAAAAGGAGAGCTTAGAAGCTTTCCTTCAAATGGACTCTTGCTAGGTACCCTGAATAATTTGATAGAGAACCTCAAGGTACAGAGAGGGCGTTGGAAGCCAGTCTGATTCTTCCTTCTCTTTCTCCAGAGAAAAAGGAAATATCGTCTTCTATCCAAACATCCTTTGCCTCTTTCCTCTCCCCTCCCTCCTCAAAGAGTTCAGTTCTACAAAGTTTGTTTGAGCACAGACCATGTTCTAGGCAGTAGGCTGGAAATACAGAACAAAACTCTCTGCATGCTATGCTTTGAGCCAAACTCATTAATTCATCCCATTTGTTCCAGGGCCAGCTAAATGAAGACAAACTGAAGGGCAAACTGAGATCCTTAGAAAACCAGCTGCACACCTGCACCCAGGTAAGCATTCTGGAGGACACTTCCAGCCCTGGAACCTAGTATTGAAGAAGAATGCTTGAACCCCAATCCTCTCTCTAGAAATGCCACCTGACAGAGATTCACGCACCCATTCCTACTCACCTAGTCCTAGCTTTGCCATTTTCACTTTGGTTCCCAGCTCGCCATCCCCATCTCCTTTTCTCTTGGGGTCCTTCCCTTTGCACCCTGGGAAGTGTGTTCTGGGGTCCGTCCCTTTGCACCCTGGGAAGTGTGTTCTTTACTCCCTGAACTCCAGGGACAGGCCCTTGGTAAAGATTCACACCACCCAGATAGACTTTCACAGGTCCTGATCTTTGAGCAGATGAGTTGGATATGTTAAGGAAGTCCTGCAAAATGATTTTCATTCCTTGGGCAACTTTTATGTAGTAGCAATCACTGGGAGAAAGTAAAATACTGTGACTCCTGACTTTTCTATGGCATTGTTATCCAGTTGCAGTAAAATCTTGACTGGCCTGATCTTGGGTTACAAGTCAAGCAAAGAAATCAACTTTCACACCTGAAAAGTGATGAATTTCTGACAGGTAGTGAGATGTAAAACAAGAGAATGAGGTGAAGCAGGCAGACTGCTGCCATTTGGAATTAGGGAGATTGGGTGGACCTGGCCACACACTTGGGTCATGCAGAGGAACAGACTTTCATATATAGGTTTGCTGTTCCCCAAGTTTTATTTTTTAAATATGGCTTATTTTGTCAGATTCTTATGAAGTAAATAATATCAACTAAGCTCATAAGAGACCACTATATAATCCAGAATGCCAGTCTATTCATTCTCAACAGGGGATAAAGCTGACCAGCATGGTTAAGTCCAATAACTGGGACATACCCATGTAAGACCTCGACCAATAGCCCCTAGATCTGGTCTCTAATGAAAATTCCAAGAATGTAAGATCAATTCACATTCAAATCCAAACTTTTTCAAATGACTCCAAAACTAAGTGGAAATGATTTCGTATTGATACCTAAATGTGTGTTACCTAGACTACTGATTACCCTGTGGGGTATCCAAGAATGACAGTAAGTGTCTTTCACTCCCCAAAATCACAGGGCATAAAGGTGAAAGGCCTGGGGAAGGCAAGACCCCCACTGAATTCACAAAGCTGCTCTGTGTCTTTTTCTCAATCATGAGGCCAGGTGGAATTTTTTTTAATGCAAACCTATTATTTTTAAAGCATTAATTGAATTTACTGGGATTTGCTCAGATCTCTGAAGCTACAAAGAACAAAGATTTTAAAAAGAAAAAAAAGCATGCTCTTTGCCCTGAAGGAATTTACAGTCCTCTAAAGCAGACAGATGGGTTGATAGGGTGCAAAGAGAGACATGCAAGGCTTACTATGCGAACACTAAGAAAAGCTCCCTAATCCATAATGAGTTGGGGGATGAGGTGGTTAGTCAAGATTCATGAGAACTTATGTGATTCTTGGGCTGAATCTTGAGCATGAGTAGAAGTGAACCAGGTGAAAAGGATGGATAAAGAGACTCTAAGCCAGAGAAGCTACACAAAGGCAGAGGCCAAAATGCACAGCGCTTAGGGATCCACATGCAGTGCAGCCTGGGTGGAGGTGTGGAGGTAGCATGGAATTAAAGTCTGAGCTTCCACCAGGAGCCCTGCCAAGGAGTTAGGACCTGATATTTAGGACACTGAGAATCCACTGAGATTTAAGCAGGGGGTGACCTGATCAAACTTCTGTTTTAGGAAGAGCCCTCTAGGTATAAGGCTTGAACAAAGGAAACTACTGCACTGATGCGTATCATATTATTAGAGTCTGAACCAAAGAGGTGGCAGATGGGACAGATAGGTATGAGCTGTAAAGGAGACTGACTTGACAAAGCTTGATGGACAACTACTTACTGGGAGAAAGTGAAAAAGAAATCAGGATACTCCCTGGTTTAGGGTTTGGGAGATTGGGTGGGCGATAATGCGGGTCACTGAGATAGGAAGCACAGGAGAAATGTTCATAATGATTGCCTTTCGGAAATGCTGAATTGCAAGGGCCTACAGAAGGCCAAGGGGACATTGCCCACCATGCCTAGGGCACTGATTATTATCCCCACTCGCCTCTCACATCCCTGGGGGACTCTCCCTGCCTACCTCTAGCCTGGACCGAGGTCCACCAGATTACTGGTATCCCCGCCCAGGGGTAAGGGTCAAACGCTTTCCATTTCTGTACCCCAGCTCAGGATTTGGTGCACTGCGGCTCAGTGCGTATGTGTTGATTACATCGAATTTACAGAAATACTCCCCTTGGGGAATGAAAAAGGTGCTATTAGAGATGGAAGACCAGAAAAACAGCTTTGAGCAGAAGGCCAAGGAGTCACTGCAGAAGGTGCTGGAGGAGAAAATGAACATACAGCAGCAACTGCAGAGCACACAGGTGTGGGGATGCTGCAAGGGGCTGGGGATGCCACACGGCTCTGGGTACCAAGGGACCAGCTACACAACTCCCAGGATGCACCCTCTCCTCTGATATCCCCCAGAGGTCCCTGGCTCTAGCAGAGCAGCAATGTGAAGAGTGGAGGAGCCAGTATGAGTCGCTGAAGGAGGACTGGAGGAACCTGGGAATAGAGCACAGAGAGCTGGAGAGCCAACTTCACGTGCTCCAGTCCAAGCTCCAGGTACAAGCACTGAAGGGAGGGCGTTGGAGACAGGGAGCAGGCTTAGAGGAAGTAGGGTGGTGATGGCAGTGATGACAGAGCTCTGCTGGGCTGAGGCCTCTAAAGGCAGCTGAGGGCAACTGGCTTTCAGTTCCTCACTCACTGCCCACTTTCTACCCGACTGTTTTGGATCTGAAATCTAATTCTGAATTTAGTAAGGGTGTCTGCACTGGTCATGCAAATGAACTAAGTGTTCACTGGAATGACACCATCCAAACACAAATGGCTGGACTGGAATATGCATCAGCCTCCTGTCATACCCCAACTCACTCTCTGCACCCCACCCCAGAAGAGCAGCAGGCTCAGAAATGCCCTCTGATGACACAAAGCAAATGTCATGAATTTATTTACAGGCTGACTATTAACTAACATATCCTGCCACTGTTTTTAAAGCAATTATAGTAGACCTCTGGCATTCTCAAGGGTTCCATTATTTCCGATCCATGTGCCCTCAGAGGAGTTAACTAACCTCCTAATCCTCAGTTTCCTCATTTCTAAAATGAGTATAAGAACAGGACCTGTATCATAGGAATGCTGCAGGACTAAGGGCGGTAATCCATACAAAGTACTTAGCACAATGCCTGGCACATGAAGGCCCTCAATAAATAGTAGCTACTATTTTTCATAGATTGGACTTACTTGGTTTGGAATTTTGAGGACCCACCTCAGAAGTTCATCTCTGTAATTTTACTGAAGCAGGGATGCCAACAGCCTACTTGTTAAGAGACAGGGTTTGTGAGTCTTGTCAATGGAGGGAGCCTAGCTGGCCCCTGCACTGCGCCCACCTCAACCTTGGCTGTCCTCTTCTCCCCCTGACCTACAAGGCAACTTTTGTGAAGGTCTTTTTTCTTGTTAACCTTAATTCTTGGAGAAAAATGACCCTACCCAAAAATAAAAATAATGATCACGCTAGAATAAGAAGTAGAGACGAAGTGAAGACATCTAGAAAAGCGATGATACGGTCTTCCTTAATTTGGGCATTTACCCAAGTGAGTCCCTTGTGAATGCTGAAAATCATATGCACTGCTGTTTTAAGTGTGAAAAACAGAGCAAAGGGAAAGATTTTGTCCTCTTCTCCCCCTGACCTACAAGGCAACTTTTGTGAAGGTCTTTTTTCTTGTTAACCTTAATTCTTGGAGAAAAATGACCCTACCCAAAAATAAAAATAATGATCACGCTAGAATAAGAAGTAGAGACGAAGTGAAGACATCTAGGAAAGCGATGATACGGTCTTCCTTAATTTGGGCATTTACCCAAGTGAGTCCCTTGTGAATGCTGAAAATCATATGCACTGCTGTTTTAAGTGTGAAAAACAGAGCAAAGGGAAAGATTTAAAAAAAAAACAAAAAACCTTCCCTATTTTTCCATTTCCCAAATACTCCTTCTATTTCTGAAATGCTACAGTTTCTACAATCTTCCTCTTGCACGGGACCTGCCCCCAGCCTCCACCCTAGCACTGACCTGCTTCTGTGTTGGCCCACCCACCTCCTCTCAGGGAGCAGACAGCAGGGACCTACAGATGAACCAGGTCCTGCGACTTCTGGAGAGTGAGCAAGAGGAACTGCAGGCCAAGATTGAACGCCTACAGGGGGACAGAGAGCTGGGCAGCTCGGACACCCAGCTCCTACAAGGTACCCTTATCCTCGGACACGTTTGGCTGAGTGAGCTCAGAGAAAGGAAGCCGGCTGGAGAGAAAGGCTTCAGTATTTGTTTGGTTGGCTCTGTGATTTCATTTTACCTTGAGGGAAAGGCAGGGCTATTTTAATCATTCCAAGACTGAAAAATTAATTTCATTGCACTAGACAATCTTGTAGTATCACTCTCTCTTCCGGCCCATCCCTCTGAGCCAGATCACAGCTGTTCCCACATCAGTCACATGTGTCAAGGCTGCATTCCTAATTTGAAAGGGATGGTCAGTTGAAACACAAGGCCTACTGTAGTGAAGGCTTCCCCGTCACATCCTCTGTGTTAGCTGACAAGAGGCGTAAATTGTGTGTAAAGACAATCCTGAATGCAAGCCCACGCTGCTGATGCAGATGGAATCCAAGGTACTTGGCTTCTGGTTTATCCTTCAGAACTGAGACAAGTAGAAGAGCAGCTTTCACGTGACACATGTCCGAGGCCATGGATAAGAAAGCCCCTACTACTCATGTCCGTCCATCAGGTGTCCAGTTCATTAAATCTTATGTTCTTCTATTTTGGTTTGTATTATTTCATTTTTCAGGTCAACTAAAGAGATCAGAAGAGGAGAAACTCGCCCTGCTGAGCAAAGTACAAGAGTTGCAGAGTAAGTTCCCTTTCCAGATTCTGAAAGGTGCGCAGGTGGCTTTCGGTGTCCCTGGGTCTCCTGCCCCACAAAAGGCATCCAGGAGGGGCTGGGGGCCCCGCCTCTGGCATATCCTCTGCTTCTGTGCATTTTCAGACTTTCTTGTCATGAAGTGAGGTCCCTTACGCAGCTCTTCACAAGGTATGCATTATTAGCTCGACTCTTTTTGTTTCTTTTCTACTTTTCTGCTTCCATGCTGGTGACAACCACCTGCATTTCCCCCAGGAATTGCAGAGCTTACAAAGTGTTGAGTTTTCCAAGGCAGTTCTTATTTCACATACTTTAACTTGTATCATGTACATGAATATACTGACCTTCGTCACTAGGAATATAGGTTCCGAAAACAAGTTCATATTATATATGCCTCAGTCCACTTCAAAACTACATATTGGAGCCAAAAAAAAAAAGAGACTTTTCAGCAGAAAAGTAGGCAATTTCAGAAAAGCCAGAGAACCTGATCCAACTAATAGCTCTCCTGGTGGCCCCCCACCTGACAGAGAAGTTTTATGCAAACAGCAATTAACACTAAGAGCACAAGGCAATGAGAGGTGAAAGGGAGAAGGAACACCAGCAGCAAACAGGAGCTCAATGGGCAAGAAGTCCCTTCAAAACCAGGCCTTTACTTATTCAGTACATATTTACTGAGCCCCCACCAAGTGCCAGGCACTCTAGATATACACACTGAGGACACAGTAATGAAAAGAATGACACAGTTCCTTCCCTGATGAAGATTACATTCTAAGTAAGCTCTGCAGTAGAGTGTGGAATTTCTACAAACAAATAAATGTATGTCAGTGTGTAATAACTGCTGTGGAGAAAAATGCAGCCAGTGAAGGGGAAATTAGCAGCTATTTGTACAGGGTCTTCTGGGAAAGTCTTTCTGCTAAGGTAATATTTAAGTAGAGACTTAAAGCTAAAGATACGGTAAGATGAGCTATAAGGATGGTGTATTCACAACAAAGTATCACAAAGCGGTGACTTAAAGAACAGACATTTATTTTCTCTCAGTTCTGGAGGCTCAAAGTCCAAAATCCAGGTGTTAGCAGGGAACCACCTGTTCCAGGCTTGTAGATGGCCGTCTTCTCCCTGTTTTTCTTCACATGTCTTCCATCTGTGCATGCCTGTGCCCAAACTTCCCCTTCTTATAAAGGACACCAGTCCTATTAGATTACGGCCCACCCTAATGTCCCGTTCTAACTTACTTACCTAGGTCAAAAATCTATCTCCAAATGAGGTCACATTCTGAGATACTGGGAGTTAGGACTTCAACATATGGGGAGGCGGGGGACACAATTCAACCAATAACAGATGGGAACATCTTTAATAATTAAGGTTCTAAGCAAAGTTCTAAAAAGACAGTCTTTGCAGTAAATATGCTAGAACAGACAAGTTCCTTGTGTTTTCCAACAGGTTTGCTTCAGAATCAATCCTTTCAGCTTCAAGAACAGGAGAAACTCTTAACAAAGAAAGGTCAGCAAATTTACTTCCACAAATTCTAAGATATTGCTCTTTCCTTGCCTGCCCAGAGGCACGGGATGGACCACAGGACCTCTTGGAGTCCCGTCCTGTTCTGGGAGGCTGTTAAGTCAGGGATATAGGGGAGCTTTGTAAGCACTGATCACTGGCTCTGGGAACACTTTAACTAGTTACCTCCCATCCTGAGAGGTTTATAAACTGTGAAAAGGATTTCTACTCCCTCTGAAAACATATGTCTGTGTTGAACATTTCAATAAATTGATTTTGAACTCAGGATTTCATGTCAATTTTTACACTTCACTTTCCAAATCACAGCCAACTCCCCAAGGCTAAGCCATGTTGCATGCAACAGTAACCTCACTCTCAGCCCTCAAGGGTCTGCTGCCTTAGCTTTCTGAGAATCCATCATGCATCTGGAGGGGGCAAAAGCCCCTTGTTTACTCACTACACACCACTTTTGTTTCCTCATCACACTGACTGGGTAAAATGTAAGGCAGAAATCATGATGCCCACATACTATGGATAAAAAAAACGAAGGCCTACGGTCATACAAATTAAGGACACAGCTCAAATATTCCGAATTTCTGACTCCAAATCCAGTGCTCTCTTCACCAAGACTTAAGACTGACTGCCAGGTGGCTGAAAACCATCTTTAACTACATGAAGACGAACTGTAGGATATGACTGCCAATCTCATGACTTTGAAATGAGGACATAAGGGAAAGGGGTTATATTGGAAGCATCCAGCCGACTAGCTGAAAGGATATGCCATGCAACCAAAGAAACTGGATTAAGTATCCTCTATAAATATCTGACATTAGACAAGACTAGGCATTCGAAGAAAAGTAAGATGTCAACCTTACCCTCAAGGGGCTCAAATTGCAGCACTCTAAGCTGAGCAGGGCCCCAGGGGAGTTCTTTGAAAATCAGAAAATTCCATTCCAGGCAGTCTAGCCAGGGACAGGCCCTCCCTTGTTCTCTCCCCGATTCCTGTGGATTCTGTCCGCGACAGGGCCCTTCCTCAGGCCTCACGATCACTGAGAATCTGGCTGCTTTTTTAGATCAGGCTTTGCCTGTGTGGAATCCAAAGCCCTCCCGTAACGAAGTGGAGCCTGAGAGTACAGGGAAGGAGAAAGACTGGGATTTCAGAGACCAGCCGCAAAAGAAGACTTTGTGCCTCCAGGCCAAGGAGAAGGAGGTGAGACCCTGCCCCCAGCAGTGAGGGGCTCACCCCACTGTGGTAGGAAAACTACCTACCACCTGGCTAGGAGGCAGCCAGAGAAGGGATTTCGAAGTTCAAATTGTGATTGGTGCCCACAGGTATTCATGTGCCTGTAAAAAATGTGCTTTGAGGTTGATTTGTGAATCTTCTCCCTTCCTTATTTATACAACCCTTATTCAAGGTTTTATGAAATACCTTTTGGAAAGTTGATCTAAACTCAAATACATTGAATAAACATATTGCCTTCTCAAAGTCTGACCTACATTGAGTATCTTAAAACTTTATATGGTGTCTTTTAAATAATAAAACTCTTCTATCTACATACATATCCCTGGGAAGTATTCACATGTGACTAGCTCCCAACAGAGATACTTGTACGAAGCACATTCCAAGTCTGTTTGTGCTACAAGAATTTCACTTCTGAACTTCATTTGGTTCACATTTACACTGTCACATGAAAGCACTTCTATGTATAATCCAGAATATTAAAAGATACATTATAACCAATCATTTAAATGAACACATTCTGGACAAACTAGGTGAGACAGTCAAAAGGCAAACTGAAATCTGAGAAAGGCTGGGGAGGGAGGATGATGGTAAAAATACCAAATGAATAAAGGGGTGACTTACACAGGGCATTCTCCCCTGGACTCTGCCCCAGAAGGGATGATGGTGACGACCTTGGTGGTGTTCTCCCCCACAGTGCAGAGAACTGCATTCAGAGTTAGACAACCTCAGTGAGGAGGATCTGTCCTGCCTGCGGAAGCTGCAGCACTGCCGAGAAGAGCTGAACCAGAGCCAGCAGCAACCTCCCAGAGTAAGAGCGTTTCTCCTCCCACACAGCCCCAGGTGATGGTGGGAAGATTCCTTCTTTGGCCAAATCTTGCAGATAAAATTTATCAGCCCATGCCAACATCTGGCCAGTCTGTCCCATTCAGCTTGGTTTGTACTATACTGAGAGTACAGCAGCCACGGAAAGAAAAACTCATACATCAAAATCTCATTCTCATGAAACTCTTGAGCCTGAAGGGAAAGACTTACTATGAGCTAAAGTATGAAATGGTATTCTTTTAGCCCTTTGTGAATGTAGTGGCAAGGACAGGGTGAGGAGGGCAAAAGTATTGAGGAATATGAACAGAGAATAACTTTGCTGAATTATTCTCCACCCTTGACTGTTCACACAAGTATTTAAGTATCTGGTCCTTGGCTGGCTATGGTTCCTGGGCCAGTGACAGCTTGTAAAGTGGTTTTACCCCAGGGAGGTGACAAAGTCAAACAATGATGCAAAGAGCTTTTTCTTCTCCACCAGCCCAAGTTTTCCTGCTGGGCTACAATGGGAAGAAGGGAGATTACCTTTGCCTATTATCTTCTCCAACCAATCCATGGCCTCCTTCTCTTTCCCCCCTCCTCACAGAGGCAATGTGGCCGATGGCTCCCTATGCTGATGGTGCTGACGGCTATAGCACTGGCAGTGTTCCTGGCCAACAAGGACAGCCTGATGATCTGAATAATGTGCGACAGCTGCCTCAGCTGAAAGCAAGAAACTCAATAAAATACTTAAAAGGTTTGGGTACTTTAAAGTGTGGGTTTTCCCAGCTCCACCGAGATTTCTGACTTTGTTATTTTTTTAAACTACTGGTAAAATAAACAAATAAATGTCACCTGACAGTCTGTTCCTCACAACTCTCGGTTTATTCCCAAATGACACATCACATCACAAATTTTAAGACGTTTAAGCACATGGTCTACTCTCTCTAGTCCAAATCAGTTGGAGGTATATAAACAGGCAGTAAAACGCAGTCCTTCTACTTTCTGGCAGACACTACCCACAGATGGCAGGTGTATTAACAGCGGGATGATACAAGGGCATATGACTTGTCCTCCACCACCCTTCTTCTGTGCAATCTCTTTCCTTCTGTCTCCTACCCAGTGATGACGAATAGACATGAGCTGAGTCAAGGGGATTCCCTAAGTACAGAGATGGCAAATATGCACTACCAATGCCAGTACCACCTATACCTATGCCCACTGCAGATGTGGCCAACAAATTATAGCATTCTTCCCTGGTGTTCTCAAGATGCACAGAATTGACACTTGAGATGATTCCTCTTTGCCATCCTTGACTTAGAGCTGGCCATTTATTGAGCAATTTCTACATGGGAGAAGAGTTACAGGGCCACAGCTGGCAGTGTGACTATCTCAGAGGAAATGCTGAGGTCAGCAAAGTCCTTCTGAGCCCTACATCGAGTCCTCAGGTCCTTCTCCCAAATGTTTAGAATATCCCTCAGGGCTGGGAATAAGCTCTCTGGGACACTAAAGGAATACAGCAAGACTGGCAGTTGACCGGGCAGCCATGAGATCTGGGCCGTGAACACCCGTAGTGGGGTGAGCGCTAAGCAGTTGTCATCTCCCTGGTTCAGGCGAAAGGTATAGGGGACAGGATAGCCCAGGAGGATCCCAAACGCAGTACAGAGATTCCAGTCTGAGGAATGGAGCCTGCTGCAGGAGACTGCCAGGGATAGGTCTCTCTGTAGCCCCTGTAAATGTGTGATGATCTCAGCCACGAGGGCCTTCAAGTCCTGTACCTCGTCCAGGGAGCAGATGGAAGGGTGAGGCTGGGAGCTGGAAACATCCACAAAGGCTATGGTACCAAGTAGCACCTGCTCCAAGTGCTGACATACATGGTCAGGACTGACAATCAGGTTGTTTTCTCCAATCTCAAGGATGTGAAGTCCCTGGTTCAGGAAACCCAGGCCCTGCAGCTCCTCCAGATAACTCTGGAGCTCTGATGCCCCTGCACAGTTGACGTCATAGAGCAGAGCTGGCTTTACTCCCAGGGCCACAGCCAGCACCTCTCCAGCTAGGTGAAGACAAACGGCTCGGGGTGGGCCCCGTCTCTTTCCCAGGCCCAGGGTCTGCTGAGCAGCTGCCACCAGCAGCTGAGTACTCAGTGTTGACATGGGATCTGGGAGCAACATCAAGCATGGCCTCCTTAACTAGCCACAGTTCCCTCCCTTGGGCCGCATCTCTGAGCTCCAGACATTTGAGGAAGACCCTAAAAACAGAGCAGTAGCAGGGGATTAACAAAGCAACCTGCCAACAGCCTTCCCCTAAATCTTACAGCATCTTCCAAAGGACATTTTGCCCCTCTGTCAGCTTTAATGTGCTAAAGCAGACCAGTCGGAGTTCCAAGGCCACCCGATTTCTATGGTTGCCTTAGGCTCCCCTAGTCCCAAATTTATGTGTCATTCTGGCCTTTCCTCTAGACTTATATTCTCTCTGGCTTCTATTCTAAAGTTTACCTGTTGCAAATTACTTTATCTAATTCAAACCTTAAACAGTTTGGAGCAAAGGAGAGGCAGGGCAATCTTTGGCAAAATTCAGAGCATTTCACCTAAAAATGCCCTCCTGAGACAGAGTTCTAGGTTCGCACTCTTCCCACTGACAACTACCGCTCCCTTCTCGCCACAGTAGCTTTAAGAATAGCAATCCAATTCAACTAACATACACTAACTACAATGTGGACTAACCACCACCTCACCCTGAGACATGAAAGTAAACAAATGAAATCTGCTAGAACTGCAGGACGGTTGTGCTTTAACTTCCGACGCCCCGCTCTCCCCTTCTGACCGACATCCACGGACCCCTGGAAGGCGGGCTCCCTCCACTCCGACACCCTTTCCTGAGCATATGGTGATTTCTTAAATGAGACAGAGGTCTCTCTGTCACTCACATACGTTCTTCCACTTCCGCTGCGGGTTCGCGGGCTCCTGTACGCCCGGCAGCTTCCCGCCCGCTACCGGGAGGGCAGGGGTCGGACACCCCTGCGGCGGCGCTGGAAACCTCGCCCGCAGAGGAAGGACTCTCGCTGCCAGTCAGGTTCTGGACGGCCAAGCCGACCTTATTGCGCATGCCCAACACAGCCTCTCCTCCCCGCCGCCTTCCGTGACGTCACCAGTCCGCTCCAGCGCCTCGCGTTAGAACCTAGGGGCCGAGCCGCCCGGAGGCGCCGGCGTGCCGGAAGTATGGGCGCCTACGACCCGTCCCTTTCCGGCCAATCAGAAGCCGGCCCTGTGCGTCTGCGTAGGAAGGAGGCGGGCGGAAGTGGACGAAAGAAGGCTGGCCTTGGCGAAACCGGCCGCCCACCGCCACCTCTGTTTGCTTGGAGGATGCCCTGCCTGGTGTCATTTGGTGTAGGTGAAAGGGCAAGCTCCCAGATTCTATTTCAGCCAATTGGGACCTGGATCCTATTTCACCCAATCGGAGCTTGGTCTCTCTCCTCTCCAGTCAGCAAAGAGCTCACCCACCACCCTTAGACCCTGCCAGTTGACCAGAGCTACGACCATCACCCCACCAACTGCCCTAGAACCCCATAAAACCTTTGTGGTATTGAAACTCACTCTCTTTCTCTGCGCCATCTTGCCACTGCGTTGCTGTAGATGAGAGATTGAGCTCGAGCTAGCCTGAATAAAGGCTCTTTGCTTTTGCATCGGTGTTGTTTCCTTGGTGGTCTTCTGGGATTCGTGACTTTGGGCACAGCAGTAGGGTCCCACTTCACCTGGAAGCCAGAAGCCGGGCACACTCTTCTTCACATGAGAAATGAGAAGCAGAAATGCAGTCTTCTCAGTCATGCCATAAAGAAGAAAAGGTGTTATTTCACTGAACGGTTAACACCTCTTTAACTACCAGTGATACGATCCATACTACACAGCCAGAGTTGAGAAAGCACATATCTGATGTGGCCGGAATTTATTGATGCATGGACAGAGCAGAGGCTAAGGGAACTTCGGGCACCTGCACTGGAGGTTTCACTCTTAGTTCTACCTTGGTACCTTCCGAGTGTAAAGAGCCACAACTGGAATAAAGATGGGGCCAACCTGGAAGGAAAAGGACCAGCTTGTACAGGCTCCCAGCTTATTGTTGGTTCTTAGCTCATAGGGAGTCAGAAGCACAGACTAGAAACCAATTTTAGAATGTTTTTCCTTCCCCATATCTATTTTCCCATGATGGTGTGGGTAAAATTGTAACATTTCCAGAACATCTCACCTGGCTTTAGTACATCTGCGTATCAGTAGACTTTCAGAGGTGGAAAGAAGTATGGCTTTAGTACATTTGCATCATTCCTCAAGGGTGGAGAGAAGTTCATCTCCATATCAATGGATAATTACCTGGGCAAGGAGGGCTTATCTGTACCTGAGAGGTGAGGGGGAGGGCTGATTTTGCTTCTGCTGGAGCAGGAAAGAGAGACTGGTCCTGACTGCAGTTTGTAAGCAATAAACGGGTTTTAAACTTAATTCTCCCTTTGGCTGGTTTCCGTTTTTAGAGGTATTTGCCCCGGGATTTCCTCTTCCCGGACTTACAGATGGTAAGCAATAAAACCCTAAGATGAAAGACTTAGTTCATCCTTTATTCTAAAAACAAACATTGGAGAACATACTATGTCCTGGATACTGTGCTAAGAGCTGGCAGCAAAGTCCAAGACAAACAGTCCCTACCCTCAGGAAGTTTGTAGTCAAGGAGGACACAGATGTTGAGCAATTACAAGGGAATTGATTACTCTGAAGGAGGAAGTACAGGGGGCTATCTGAACTTATAACCAAGGACCTAATTATATGCGGAGGGGCCAGCCCAGATCCAAAACTTGACTCCCCAATTTACCTACAATGGGTTCTTTTTAACTTGGAGCTAATCTAGTTTGTGGAGGGGACAATGAAAAAAAGAGCTGGTGACACTCCCTTCCTAGTCTTAAACAAGGTGAAGGCAAAAAAATAGAAGATGCCAAGGGAGGTGAATAGTGTAGCCACGGGATATGGCAGACTGAGTCTCCAAGACAGAAAAAACAACTGGTTTCTACCCAACAGGACCAGAGAAGAGTACTGAGGACTATCAGTGGAAAACCCTGCTTGCAATCTCCCAGCATTCTGAAAAGAAAAAAAAACAAAGAGGAAACTGGGCTAACTCGTTAAGACAATTCAAAACCACTGATCCATTCGTCTGACATATTAATAAACATCACTACAATCACATACTAGAAGTTTGATCCCTTCTGACACTTCAGAATACTATTTTCAAAACCTTTTGCCAGCTCACATTATCTGGGCTACCACCCAGATTGACAGCCTGGCTGTTAACATCTTGCAGAATGAGTGAAAGGGACCAGCCCAGATCCAAAAGTTGCCCTCCCAATTTACCTATAGTGAGTTCTTTTTAACTCTGAGCTATGCAGACAGAGAGACAGACATCAAGACCAAATCCCTCACTTCACCTACTCAACAAAATGACCAAAATATTAAAATTTTCTGTACCTCAGTTTCCTGGTCTCTTGACCATTTGCTCACAGCTGAGCACCTGACCTGATGAGATTTCTCTTGGTCAAACTTTAGTAACATCAGATCCCACTGGATCCCTTAAGAGACCCTAAACCACAGCTTGAGCATTCTAAATAAATTATTCCCACTGCCACCTGTGATTGAGTTGAACTTACGGTTTTTTAAGTGGAACTACCCAACTTTATAGGTAGTTCAACTTCAGTAGCAAGCAGGAGGTGCCTTGGCTTAAGGGCAGCAGACTAAACATGGATTTTCTTAATATGGCCTGGCACAAATAGGCATCAGTATTCAAGAGGATTGGGCCTGCAACCAGAGATTAGGTCTTGGACTTTAAATTATGCATCATTTCATATTTTAAAAGAGCGGGGAGGACGAAAGGGTCAGGAACTGGGCAAAAGTGAATAGATCAGCCCAGTTTGTGGCAGCTACAACTGCAGCGTTCTCCACCACTCTTCACCTAAATTGTTTACGCCCAACTTCCTCCACTGGAGAGGGAGACAAGCAGGTTGATGTTATGTGAGCCTTTTCCAGAAGAGCACCGCCCGACCCTTCTTCGCCCTGGCCTTAACACACTCAACAACCTATTTTTCCTGACTGCAAAAAATCCGAATGACAGGAAAACTGTAAACATCTCCAGAACAGGAAGAACTGTCCCTTAGTCAGAAGAGTTTATCCTAGTGGCCCAGCTCACTCCCAGGTCTTCTTCAGAGAAGAAAAAAAAAGAAAAAGAGAACTCTGTCCTCTCTGAAGGTTAACGCCGAGTTATGTATGCTCATCTGGTACACACACACTGTGGTGTTTTGAGTGGCAGCAAGGTAAACACCTGACAACCATTCTTTTACAGAATCCCCAGGCCTTTTATGTCAACAGCTTCCCTTTGGAAGCTTAGTTTATGAGCATTTACTCCACTCGCCAGATGACTTTCAGACTTTGGCACCTATTTGTATTTAGCTATCAAGCTTGGTTCCTAAGCAACCAGCCAGTTCTCCTCCCTCTCACTTCCCCCATCAAGGAACCAGCTTACTATACTAGCAGAACAGGTCAAACAGAGATCAATCCTGGACAAATCAGTGCTTGAGGGAACTTTAATGAAAGAAAAAAAAAATGTGGTACAAGAACAATGCAGAAGGGTTCTGTTCCAGGCGGTTTTCCCTTGTACAAGTAGAATGAAGTCATCGAGTCAGAATTTTAAAGTTGGCATTATTTCAGGCATCATTCCAGTCCCTTCACTTTACAGTAATGAATCTGAGCCAAGGTTAGACTTGGTTCAAGGTCACACTATGGAAGCAAAGCTGCAGCTAGAACCCTGATGTCCAAACTCCAAGGCCAAATCTCCTTCTACTATATTACTACCATTAGGAGGCTTAAAAAAGACAGGGAAAGTATGAAGGGCAATTTTTCATAAATTAAATCAACTCTCAAAGCTAGGCATATTTGGAGAGTCAGAGACTACCAACATCGTTAGAAAGAAGAGAGGTTTAAAAGAATAATAAAAAATATCCATATGTACAATATTGTAAAAAAGAGAAGGGAGACAACAGGCTTGATTTACTGGGCCGGCAGGGCAGGGGGCAGTTGCATGCTGGGGGTGGGCTGCATGGGCTGCCAGCTTTCCTGGGTTTGGAGGATGCGGTACAGCTGCTTCAGCTGAGCAACGATGTTATCTTTGATGTCTGGAGTTGAGATCTGCAGGCGGACGCTGCCACTGTCAAAGGATCGTGTGAAATCACCAGAAAACATCTCGTAGATCATCCGAGCCACCACTGGAATGACCTGTTCAAGACAGAGAGCACAAGGGTGTCTGCTGAGGAAAAGCTATCTTTAAACAGCACAAGGGACTCCAGATTAAAGGAAGGATCAGTAAAGCCCTAGGAAAGCCCTCCAATCTAAACTCTAGATACAAGGAGTGTCTTCATCTCTCTGGACTATATCCTGCCACGTTGGTTTAGATGAAGGCAAAGAACCTAGATGTAGCACACCATCACATGCCCAAATAGATAACTGCTTATTTAGCAAGATGAAATGTACCCAAATTTCATTCAGCACCTGCCTTATTGCACAATTCCAGGGCCAGACTCAAATGTACACCATCACATGCCCAAATAGATAACTGCTTATTTAGCAAGATGAAATGTACCCAAATTTCATTCAGCACCTGCCTTATTGCACAATTCCAGGGCCAGACTCAAATGGTCTTGCTGCCACTTCCTAGAAAAAGGTTTTTCTTAAAAGTAACTCACAGGTTTTTCCAAAAAAGCTGAAAGGGTCGTATCTTATAAAGGTCTCAGCAAGACTTTTAATGTCAGTAAGAAAATGAAAGATAAGGTCTCCACTAAATCAGCCAGCCCCTTTGAAGATGCCTTAGTCTCCAGCTTGGTCCTACTGTACAATGTACAAAGCTTGAGTAAGCTATTACATTTGATGGGATTAAAAACCCACACAACTGATGGATCCCAGAACACAGCTCAACCCCAGACTCAGAGGCTAAAGCGTTGGTAAAAGGCAGAGTCATTGATACATCCTAATCTCCTCACCTGAACCAAGATAAGTTTTCTTTCCAGCGGCTTCCCATCTGGCCATTCTTCCCCAAAGCATAGGTAGATCTCAAATGGTGGCTGCTTCTCTATCTGTCCTTTCTGGTGGGCAATGAGATCTGCAGAAGGTGGACGAGCAAGTTTGCTATAGTGGGTCATTCCATATCCACTCAGTAAATACCATCTTTCATGCTGTCTAATATGGTAGCTACTAGCCACAACATATGCCTATTAAATTCAAACGAATTAAAATTAGATAGATCCTTAGTCACGTTAGTCACATGTATTTGCACAATAGCCGCATGCGGCGAGTGGCTACCATATTGGACAACACAAATATAGAACATTTTTATCATTTCAGTGGGTTCTTTCGGACATCAGTGAAAGAGACTTGGAGTTTAAACCACATTGTAAAATTCACATCTCAGGGCTCTCCCTAAACTTGTCTTGAATTCCCAGTCAGGTATTTCCCAAATGAAAAGACTGTATATTTTTCTGATGATGAACAGAGTCAGCTTCCAAAGTTAAGAGTAAACTGGCAGTATTTGGGGATAAAGACAAGGCTTTCTCCCTCCTTTGCCCTTAAAGGAGCCATAACTAACCTAAAAATAGCTTGCGAGCACACAGCTTTAGTGTTGGAACATGCTGCCTTGTTCTGAACCAAGATTCTGTTCTACTTGACTTCCTCCAGAAGAAATTTTTTGATCAACACCTTTTTTGCAGAGCCAGGGAAGTGGTGGAGGGAAGGAGGAAGCCATACTTCCAGGAAGCAGTTTCCACCATCAGCCTTCTGAAAAAATACTCACCACTAAGGAATGTTTCCAGACAAAACAGCTTAACCTTCTTTTGTCTCTCAATCAGGTTGGGGGCAACAAGCGATGGAGCACATGGCCCAGACCAGTACACCTTGCACTGGCACAGCCTGATGGCATAAATGGCATGACCGCTGACCTCCAGGATCAGTCCTCTGTCCATGACGTCTAGCAGCTTACTGGTGAACAGCTTCTGCTTTTCATTGGTGATATGCTCTGGACCTGGGAACTTGACTTGCTCCAGGCTGACAGGACCAAAGAGCTCCTCCTGGTCAGGCATGGGACCCAGATCCCCATAGAAGAGCCGGCAGCCCTGGGGATTGCTCACGGTCATGGTCTGCCCATACTCCTTCCCACGGTACTGAAACTTGATGTCCAGGTCAGTCACTGCAAGGTGAGAGAGGACAGTGAGAGTCCTGCTCTGTTGCTCTGCCTGTCCATCCCTAAGACTCATGCAAGTCCATCAAGATCAAGCCACCTTTCAACCAGCATTCAGGAAGGCCACTGCCAATAGTTATCCTTCCTGCAATAAAGGGAGACATCAACATATCCCTGGAATATTCACTCAAAGGCTGCCTGGAAACAAACAGTTCAAGGTCCAACCACACTATCTCTGTTCAATCACCACACCCTAAGGGCTAGAATTTCTCAAAGCAAAGTTCTGGATTCTTGTCTCCCCATTTCATACTGAGTCTTCATATCAATAGGCATTGGAAGGAGCTAAAAACTAGGTATCTGTTATGTGCCTCATTTTTGGCTCATTGCTTAATATCTTTTCTAAAGGAATAAGAAAAAGTACCAAGCCATCTTTCTGCAAATTACACACATGAGCACATACCATAGATCTCTTCTAGTAATATATCATAAAAGGACACAGCTCACAGCAAAGTTAAGTTTTGCTCTGCAAGTGTCTATTTAACCCAATAAACTATCTGCCTCTTGGACAAAATTCTAGCACTCACATTCCCCACCACGTGTAGTATGAAAGAGAGATGGGCATTGACATGGATTCTCCATTGAGTTAATTTGTGCCCAATTCAGGGATTTCCTCTGGGTCCTAAAGCTCCTCAAAATGCAAGAGGCTCTTTAACCAAATCCATGGCCACTAACTTCCCTATAATATAACATAACTGGACTTATCCCCAAATCCCAGGCCTTTCACCCAGTTAAGAGGTGAGTACCCTAGAGCTACAACCAATCAGAACATCCCCATGGGCAAGAAAACAAATGTTTTCTTCTTCCCTGATAACTCATCGGCCAGCCAGGAACCAGACACAGAGGCTGCCTTTAGTGATTCTATACATGGCAAAGAAATGGACAGAAGATGGGGTAGGAAAGGGACTGTAATAGGAGCCGAGGACCCGGTTATGAAGATCAAGTCTCACTTACTTGGGAGAGAACTGATCCACAGCTCTGGGGAGCTATAGAAGGGCTGGATAGGTGGCTGAGGTACTTCCATCTCCAGAGGTTCAGTTTTGGGCCACACTGCTTCAGGGCTGCAGTTGCCTACACTGGCTGGTGCCATGGGAGAACCTAAAACAGAAGGATGTGGGTGAGCAGGCAGGGGCACACACATGTACCTCAGCTGTTCTGAGACTCTAAAACCCAATACGGTCAATAGACATGAGTCAAACACAGGACCATGACGCAGTGTGGCAGTCCATCAGTGGTTCCCACAATCAACGTAATAAGAAACAAGGCTCCCTTGTTCTGCATCCGAACCACATCACCTCTCCCCTACACTCCTAGTTCTCAAAACCTGCACTGACTGAAGATTGATAGACAAGTGGGTTTTCTCTGGGATTAAATTACAATGGGCATGAATGAGAGGTTCCCAGTTGCAAAATTTGACCCCAGCACTTAAAAATAAGCTCACTGTCATCCTTAAAATGAACCCAACTGATTTAGTTGATTAGCTTCAAGTAAGTGTTAAAGAAATTCCATTAAAAAAACTTTTACATGCACAAAACATCTGGAAGGATATTCAAGAACCTGGAAGGATCTGTCTCCTTCAGGAAGGAACTGGGAGGTTCAGAGACAGCATGAAATTCAACTGATTACCTTTTTGTACCATTATGAATTTTAAACCATGTAAGAGTACAGTGCATTCAAAAATATCCAATTAAAGCTTTCAAAAAAAGAGAATGGAAACCCTATCCTATTTTCCTGCTATTGTCAAAGTTGGCCCACTCCAAAATCTACCAATTTTCTCCTCCTAGCCTCACCTCTTAGGCATCTAGTCTTCAACAATTCTTTTTCCTCTGCCCCAACAACTCTGAAATCACATAGGTTAATGTTTCTTTGACCCTTTGTGTACAATCTATGTACCCATTTTACTTTTTTGTTTTTAATATATGACTCACATCTTTCCACAAAGTCCCTAAAATAAGGTCATACAACATTAGGTTTAATAAGATATGAACAGAAATAGGAAATCAGGATTTTGAAAATAGGTTGCATCCTTTTAAGGGGTGAGAATAACAGAATGAGCCAGCCAAGGATTTGGGAAAGGATCCCACACCTCCGGATGTGCAACTGTTAAAATTTCACTCAGTGAGAATATAGCATGTGGCAATGCTGACCTGAAAGAGCTTTTCTTTACTCATCACTTGGATGCAAAGATAGAAATGGCAGTAAGTGAAAGAGGGCCAATGAACAGATAAAAAGAGTCATTTCCTGATTCTTGAAGGTAGGGCATCACCTGGAGTAGGGCACTCCAAAATCCCAAAGGATACAGTAAATTTTCTAGGTGGCACATGCATCTCATTTGGTCCACAGCAGCCACATGGAACTAGAAAGGCAGTGAAAAGCTGCTCAACTGAATGCATGTCATTTGACTAGGGGCATGTCAGTGGACAGGTCAAGTGAAGAAGCCGCAGAAGAGCAGTTCATCTTGTGTCTGGGCATCCTCAGAATGTGCAATGGGAAAATCAGCACCTGCTCTGTCAAACACAGTGACCTTCCAACCTCTCAACTTATTTTCCTGGGAAACTGAATTCAAAATGTCCATAAAAGAAAGGTTTCTTACAGCTAGGTTCTATCAGAGTATAGTATCTTAATACTGCAGAAATCAGAAGTTTCCCATGATAACAGCCTTAGCAGAGTAGACCCTGTTTAGGAAGTGACACAAAATTTATACTGAGGAAAACTGGAAGAGTTTGCCTACAATTCATGAAAATGAGTCTGCACTTGGCCTGAAGGGAACCAGCAAAATTTGTAACAGCTGATGTACGTGTATGTGGGACTGAGAATGAATTTGTTTTAAATTTCTATAAATTATTATATGATTCAGAAGATGTTCCCCATGCGTCAAAGTCACTCCACTGTGATAATGGGGCCAGCAGAGTTCCCTTGCCTGTGACCCCTACTTGTTGACAAACAGGCAGCCTGGCCACAGGGCCTGGTCACTGCCCCCAGTGCATTGGTGACTGAGGAGTCTGCAGTGACAAGGTCAAAGTCCCTTACATCCTCCTCATCCCTCATCCCCCTGTACCACCCACCACCACCCCTCACCATTGATGTTCAGGAAGGGGAAGGTGTCCTGGATGGGAACATGGTGCTGTGACTGATCGAGCTCATCTTCCTCATCTTCTTCATCCACATCATTATCCTTTTCATCCCAAGGAGCAGACCCAGTGGACCCTATGGGAGAAACACAAACAAGCCAGCAAGTTAATCATTCAGGCTGCACTGTCATCCATGCCGCTGATCCACTGTACAAGCTAGGGACTGCCAGCATGGAGGCTCCTAGGGTTCAGTGTGCACTCTCAGTGCCCGAGGGCGTGTTAACCCCACTTCTAACTCCTCCTACAGAGCCCTAATGTAAGCCCCCCCCAACCCACAAGCTACAAACCTTCCTCCCTTCTCCTAGAAATTTCTTAATTCCCACATTAGCATCGTTTTTAAGGAATCAAGGACACCAACAAGCTATATATGTGGCTCTTAGTTGGTACTTGTTAAGCACTGGGTAAACAGGATGATCAGGTGGTACCTCTTAGCAAAAGTATCCTACAAATTAAATGATCATTTATAGAGAGATCACACTTTATAAAGTTCTCTTTATAAAAAGAACTTAGTGGTTTTTACATGTCATGTCAATTGAGTATTATAGGAGCCTTTGAAGAAGGCAGGAAAGATGAGAGCCCAGATTTTACCACTGAAGAAACTGAAGCTCAACAGTCATATGACTTGATTCAGTGAATGTCCCACATGGAGTGAAGTGATAAAAGCTGGGTTCTGAATTCAAACATCCTAAGTTTTAATTCATCCTTCTTCAAAAATGCCTGGCCTCTCCTCTCCATGTTGAGTCCCAGGAGAAGCTTATTTTTACAGAACTCTCTATCCCCTCTACTTTCTAATGCTTTCAGCCATCAGACTTGTAGGTATTCCCCTAAGTAAGCAAGAAGATTTTGCGGAGTTTCCATCTTTTGTTCTTTGGGTCCTTCTTCAGGAAATGTTTTCTGGCTTTACCAGTCTTCAACTTTGTAAGCTGGTTGATTCTGACGTTGATTCCTTAAGAGCCCAGACCAGACATGGCATATGGTTCACTGTCTCCCCAGAGCTGGAACCTCACCTGGGTTGATGATGGAGCCCTGGGGCTGGGGGATGTCACACACTTGGTATATCTTCACTGGGTTCATGGGCACCTCCTTGGTGCCATCGTACATCAGATTGAATTCTCTGCTCTTGTTGAGGGCACAGCGGAGCTGGGCCTTCCATTTAGCTGGGTCAGGGTCATCCACCCCTTCCTGGTACTTTCCTGTCTCCACAGCCCAGGCCTGAAAAAGAGGAAACTAGTGAGTACCTCCTACTGCCCAGAAACACCGCAAACTGTGTTCACCTTCTCTGGCACAGACACACATCCCCGGCCTGGCTACCCCACCATCCCAATCGCAAGTTACAGAGATGGCAGCAAGAAATGGCAGCCTCAGGCCCAGGCAAGGTAAGGCCTGGGCAAATTAAGGCATATGCAACAGGATATTTTGAAAGGAGGAGCCTTATCTCCAGTGGTGGTGCCAGTACCACCTGTCAAGACTAAAATGGCTACAAGGAAGAGTTGAAAATAAAGAAAAATCTGGAAAAATATACACCAAAATGCTAATAGTAACTTTGGATTACAGGATTGCAGGTACTTTTTTTGGTTTATTTGTTTCTGACATGAATTACTTATGCAATAATTAGACAAAGGGAGAAGGTATATGATAGGAAGAGTTTGGCCTTGCTGTCCCCTCCCTGTCCAGTCTTCAATCTGATGCATAAATATTGCAGAAACCAAGTGCCTTTTGGAGAAATAGGCTGTAGGAAGGCAAGAAGCACACTCTGAGGGTTCAACTTGCCTCAGCTCGAGCCTGAGGGCCTCAAGTCCTAATAGGCCCACATCCCCTGCCTTTCCCTATTGCCTCAACCTCACACTTCATTGGAAACATTTTGCTGGAAATGCCAGTGCCTGGTGGCATGGGCTAACCCACAGGGGCTCCTCCTCTCTGGTTTTCAGTTTCCAGGTCTAACAGGCATATATGTGTCTGCTCACAGGATTTTACTCTCCCCCACTGCTAACACATTCTCAGATCTTTTTTTTAGGAGTTTGACATATGCACTGATGCAGAAAAGAGGGATATCGTTAGCAGAAAACTCAAGGTCAGGGGCACACACCAGCTGGTTCAAGCTGGCAGGACATGCCACTTGTCCAGTCCCAACTCCCCGGTCTGCTCCTGTCCACAGGCTTCTTCAAGCTGAAATGGAATTTTCTGTCCCATCCTTTGAGATCTCTGATCACCCTCAGTTACTCCTGCAAGCCTCACAGTCATGAGGAAGTTTCTTCCAATAATAATACAAGTCCTCCGCCAGTTCAGACTCCTTACCATCTTCTCAGACTCGGGCGCTCCTCCATTTGTTTTGTGGAACACAATCAAGAGGCTTGACAATGTCTGCTGCCCCAGGTGGCTTCATAGGCACCCTTCCAACCCCCTACAGGGGATTTCAACTTCCCTGGTCCCTGGTGTCTGAGAGGCACATTGTTGCACCCAGCGGTCCCTGGCTGCTGCCTCCCCACATCTCCCCTTCCATTTATTTGATCCTCCATGCCCACTCCCACTCTAGCCCCTCCCCGCTGGCCTGGGCTGTGCTGACTTTGGCACGAGTCTGCACATTTCTGTGGCTCCCTAAATCCCTTCCCCTCCACAGAGAACAGCTAGACTAAGCCAGAGCCACAGCTACAACCTTCCTGCTCACAGCACAGCCATGCCCCAGGGCCCACTCCAGTCGGGGGAGGACCCCAGCTGATGCGGCAGACGGTGCTACCCACCATATGGCAATCATTGTGATTTATAAGCATTACTTGTTCAAACCCACTCTCAACCTTGCTCCTGAGATTCCAGTCACTGCACAGGTCCCCATTTCTCTTCCTAAAATGGAAATAATCTCTGCACTTTTATGGTAGTCTACGAGTCCCTTCCCATACATCATTTCACTCAGTTCTCACAACAGTCCTGGGAGGCAGGCAAGACTGGCTTCATTCCCATTGTGCTGAAAGGGAAGCTAGAGCCCAAAGACATTACATACATGACCTGCTCACACATGCTATTGACGGTAGTAGGATTTGAAGCCAGGCCTTCCAACTCCTGGGCAGAAGGGGCAGTATCATAGGCCTGGGTCCAAATCCTGACCCTGACACTTATTGGATGTGTGTCTGGCCAAGTTACTGAGCACCTCTAAAACTCAGCTTCTCCATCGACAGCATGAAGGTAAGCCCTCCCTTACAGAGCTGTCAAGAATTAAATGAGGTAATGGACTTAGGGTATGGAGCAGGCACCCATTTAAGGCTCCTGTCCCACCTGCCCCGCTGCATACCCTGCTGAAAGCCTGTCAGAGCTTGGCACCTGTGAGTGCACCCTCACTCTTCTCCTGACTTCCAAGGCCCCCCCTAGCATTCTGCAAATAAATAGACAAAGCAGCTTCCCACAGCTCTAAGCACACTAATTGCTTTTGTGAGTGGGGCCTTCAGGAACCAGTCTCTCCCCCCACAGCCAGCTACCACCAGACACTTCCAGCATGTCAAGTTTTCAGACCAAGGCCACAACAGGAGGCCAGCTGGGCCAGGGCAGCCCCATCCTGCTCACAATGCCAACTCCAGTAGTTGGTGCTGGTTTACGGATGTTTTCCTTATCACCTTTATATCCTTATTTATTTTTTAAATTAAAAGCACTCATTTGTTTTCTTTCTAAGTGCCATCAGCCAATTTTCTCTACACGTTTCATGTCTACACCTGACATAACTGAGGTGGGAGGGAAACATCTCTAGACTGGCTCGCCTTTGAGGTGTGAACCCACCTTTCCTAACCCAGTCTCAGCAAGAACCTGGGACCTCAATCGTGAGAGACCCAGGTAGGGATTGGATTTTACTTCTGACTTCCAGCTTCTAGAGGGAAGAAAAGCATAAACTCATATCTCTGTGTCTTGGGAGTGCAGGAACTAAATCTACTCATGAGATCGAAGGCTGACCAGCACAGAGAAGCTGGTCTGGAGCAGAAGCACCGGGTCTGGAGTTACAAACCATATGACTCTCCTGCCCACAAACAGCTTCCAACCTACTTCCACTTTAAGTCAAGCTTTGGTTTCACTTAAGTTTTATAAAATGACATGTGATTAAATTTGTTTTCAATTAAGTAAAACAACTCATATCAGAGCTATTTTTTATTTAACATATTTGTAGAATAAAAACCCAAAATTAAATTGCCTTTAATTTTTAAGCAGAGGCACAATAGTTTAATATCAAAAGAAAAACTTGCATAGAGTCCTCTACACCCATTCTACAGACTAGCCTGCTAGCCCTCAATAATTCTCTCCCGGTCTGAATAGCCATTCCCAGGCCTAGACACCTCTCTCTATAGCAGAAGCCTTTAGTGAATGAAGAGGAAGGGCCAACTGCTGACCTTTGGAAGCTTTTGGAACAACCCCACCAAAATAATCCCTTAGAGCTTAGCTAGCCACATCTGGGACCCTTTGGGATGTGAGCTGAGTACCTTGACCAATGAGAAAGAATAAACAGCCTCAATTATAGACGTGCACCAACAAGAGAAATCACTATGCCTGCTAAGTGTGGGCACCCCATCATAAACATGCTCTCTGTTGTGCCAGCACTTCGGCTCTAGTATGTTCCCTATGCCAAAGTAGAAAACAGAACAGAAGACGCAAAGGTCTGAGAGCACTGGAAGACATTTTAGGTCAGATGGCGGAGGAAGTCCTTTACCTTGAAAATGGTATTTTCCTCTTCTTGTTGGGGGCTATGCCGGGTGGCATGTTTCCAGGGAATCTGGAAGCGTTTGGAGTCCCTGTGCAACCAGATGAGCCCAGGGTACAGGCCACTATCCACCTGGGCCACCAGCCAGGGCTTCAGCCGAACCCTGCGGGGGTGGAGCGCCATGATCTGGGTGGGAAAAGGGGGAAGAAGTGGGGAGAGCAGGAGAATTAGGCCAGCCACTGGGAACTCTTCCCAGCCACTGTTCCCGTAGGATAGAGCTACAGTTTCATTAGATGACAGCAAAGAAACTAAATATGGCAATAAGCTGTGCCAGGTGGGGAAGAAAAGAGAAGAGGTTAAAAGGTTCTTTTGATTCTTATTCCCAAGCCATTTCTACTTCATGCGCTAGCCAAGTCAGACTTATCATGTAAGTAGATCACATTTCTGCTATTTAAATCCTGAAGCAGAAAAATAAAAAGATGATGTCATCCCCGCAGGGACACAGTCCTTCCTGAAGTAGCAGGGCTTTGGACGAGAAGGAAACTGCTCTTTTCAATCTCATCTCAGAAGAGGGAAGAAAAGAAGCTATGGAAACGGCAAGGATATGGGCAAGAACTTGAAGCACACTCTCTTTTTAGACAAGTCAACTAAAGGTGAAAGGGGCTATTTTAATAAGAAATGACACCATCGTGGTAAGACAGAAGTAGGTGGGTCTTAGTTCCAAAGTCCTCACTTACGTAGATGAACAGGCAGCGTATCCACAGCGATCTGAAGAGCTGGGCTTTGAGTCAGCTTTCCTTTCTTTGAGCCACCCAATGATTCTGTACCAAGAAAAAGGGTTCTGAGCTGGTTATCTACAGGAAATCCAGTGTCCGGGAGAAGGCTTAGGAACACCGGAGGCAAAGGCTCGGAGCACCCAGCCGTGCAACCGAGTCTGGTCAAGCACAAGCCCTACAAGTACCAAATCCCACAGTTCCTAGCCCTGTATTACTAAAAACAGGCAGAAGACAAGTCCTATACTGCTAGGACAGCCTCCTCACCTGGGTCTGTTTATCCTCACTGGCTGCAGGAGCCAGCCTGGGTAAAGTCTGCAATTGATTCTCATAAAAATACAGAGGCACAGCAGATAACATTTGTCAGCAGCCAGCACTCACGGCAGGACACAAAGGCCTTCCCAGATAGGGTGCCTGAAGAAGAACCAGTCTCTGGAGAATTGTTTGTCTGGGATGTTGTGTTTAGATGTTTTTTGGTATGTTTCTTTTACTTTGTTTTTACTTAAGCTGAGACGGGGACTCCTGCAAAATAACATCGATTCGACAAATATTTGTTCGTCAGCTACCGTGTGTCAAACACTACAGTTAGTCACTAAACACTAAACCTCAATATTTTCATCAGACCCGCTGAAGAAATCCACATTGGAACAGGCCACAAATGGCCTGCGGAGGGAAGGGAGATAAATAAGTCATCTTCGCACCCAGAAGGATCCTCACTTGGATGGAGGTTCGGAAACCAAACGTGGTGAGTCAGCCGAAGGCTCCCACTCTGAGAGGCTTTGCTGAGGGGGTGGCCCCTAACACCACTTCTCCTCCCAGCCAGACATCTAACCAATAGGGAAAACCCAAACCCAGCTCAGCCTCTGGCACTTTAAGAGCAAGGCAGGACCTGCTCTCACCTGAGCCTTCTGACCCACTTACCAAGTCCTGCAACTGAAACCTTCCCCCAGGAGTACAGCTCACAGCGGGCAGGTGAATACTGCTGGCGTGCAGTATTCAGATGCCCCCCACCCCCACATTCTTGGCCTTGGTTTAGGTGGTTGTAGGGCAGCAAGTCAAGCCATCAAATCAGGAGAACACTGACCTTATAAGGAGGAGGCACTGCATATTCTCCCAAGGACAAGTTCTACCTTCTCCTCAGTCCTAGCCTACTGGAGGGGGATGGGGCAAGGGAAGGACAGGAAGGACTGGGAAATGGGAAGCAAACTGGTCAACTTAGTGAGGGGCTTTTGACACTTTCTATTTCAGTATCGGTAGGTCCTGTGTCTGGGCCTGCCAGACACCTGAAATCCACCTCCTGATGGATTGTGGACTTTGAAGAAAAGGGTTTATCCTGGTTTACCCATGGCTCATCAAGAAAAAGCTGAGGCAACCAAGCCAACACAAGGACCCGTACATAGTGATGGGGAAGGAGAAGCAGCCACCCAGAAAGACTGATGATTAAGATCTAGAGCCCTGGGTTCTCGGTGTTCTCCCAAGACGGCACCACACATGAGCAACCCCACCTCAGTGTGCCCTCCTCCGTGCCCCACCTTGCACTGCTAATCCTCTCCACCTTCTGGAAGCCAACCAAGATCTCCCCCTCCTGCTATGCAGCCATCCAGTAACTAAGACTCTAAAAACAGGCAGAGGGAAAAACTGGAAGTAACCAAAAAAACAGAGGAGAATGGCTAATCACACATTCACAGATTACAACATTAAGCAGCCATTAGCAACAGAGTGTCTGAAGAGTTTTTATGGGATTTGGGGAAATGTTTACAATATGAAGTTAAGAGGGGGAAATGCAGGATATGATACTGACTGGATGGTAGTGTCTCCATCGTGTTACATAACATGCACTTGCATATACACATATACACAATAGAAAAAGAGAAAGAAATAATATACCAATGCGATGATATTTGTAGTGGTTACCAGGTAACAGGATTATAGGTAAATTTTATACTTGTCTATATACTTTTATGTATGATTCACATTTTCCTACAATGACATGTTTCAATTTATAATTTTAAAAAAAACTACAAGTAGTATTTTTTTTAACCACAGCAAGTTAAGACATGTCTTGACCCCTGGAAGGCATAAAAGATGATGGCCTTAAGCTGATGAGACCATGATAACAACAATCATTTGTATCTACATAGGCTTTACAGCTTTTACATTCACTTTTACTTAATGTGTCTGATTTCATCCTCATGATCTGCTAGAGGTATAATTATCATCCCCATTTTATAGTTGGATTAACTGAGGCACAGAATAGTTAAGTGCTTTATGTGGGGCTTGGACCCAACATTCCTGAGTCAGGATGTGCTGCAGCAAATCCTGCCACTGTATCCTGCCTTCCAAGTCCCTTCCTTCTTCCATACACTGAGAGTAAACCAAAAACATATAACAGAGCTCCAAGCAGAATGGAGTGCCAGTGACGTAGTTAGGGAGGATACTGCATGACACCCACCCTCAAACATACCTAAATCATAGTTCTCTCTTAAACACTCTCACCACCCAAAATTCTAATGTCCACAGAACAACCTCAGCCTAGGTGAACTCAGCCCTGCTATCCAGCTGCCATCACAGCTAAATTCAAGGCCTGTATCTCCAACAGGTCTTTAACTAGCAAAAGAACAAAGATGCTACCCACCCACTCCCCTCACACTGGGCATTGAGCAGGGACAGGACCCTTTCAACCTCCCCAAGGCACTAACCACCCCATTCCGGATAGCAGGTTCTCCATGACACCCCCACTGCCACCTGTCTAGGCCCTGCCCGGACTAATTTCCAGGGACATGGTGACCCCAAAGCCAAGATTCAGCTGTCAGTGGTTTTGATCAGAGTAAAACACACCCACCATTTCTTCTAGACAGACTTTAACGGTGGTCCTACTTTTCTCCTTCCTCCTGGAGAGAATTGAGGTGCCCTTTTCCAAGTTCCCCAGCCTTTCCTCCATTTAGTTCAGCCCGGCTTAGGAGTAAATTCTGGATCTCTAGCCATAATTTCCACACCCTTCCTCCCTGCTGGACTGAAGTTGGGGGCCAGTGAGAAGGCACTGCGGGATACTGGGTGCCATTACCATGCATTATACATACATCTAACACTAAATTCCTCTCCCGGGTCAGCACCAGCCTCATCAACCCCTATTTAAGCACCTTCCCCCTTTGCAGTCCCTGCCTTCCACCTCTGACATCTACCAAGAGAGAAGGGCTGGGACAGGAATGACCCCTTTGCCACAAGGCAGGCTTCCTGTGAAGAGTGGCACCCCGGGCCTCCTTTCCAGGCAGACCTGGGAGACTTTCCCCATTTCTCCACCCGCCCTCCATCCCCTTCAGGCAAAGAGAGCCTCACCCCCAGAGCAACCACACCCAGCACCACCCTCCCCAGCACCAAGCTTGGTCACTTGGAAATCATGGGTGTCTCCCAGGCCCAGGGCTAGGGGCTTAACTGTGCTAAACAAACTCCAGGAGAGAAAACAAACTGGCTAAAGCTCCTGGCCGCCCCCTTTCCCAAAGTCCCCAAACAGCCACCTAGGCCAAGGGCAGCAGGCCTGGGAAATCCCCTCTTTGGGACACAGGGGAAGGAGGCAGCCCAGAGAGCTGGTTAAGACTAGAGGGGTGGAGGCGCCTTGCTCTATCCAATGGGGAGCGGGTAGGGGCCAAGAGCAGCACACTCCGGTTGGGTGGGGAGGGAAAGGGAGTCGACAGAAGTGTGGGTCAGGAGCGGCCCCGCGCTCTAGGGCTAGGGCCGCCCAAAAGGTACTTGGAGCGGTACGACAGGCACCCAACCGCAAAGGGTATCCCCAAACACATAGGGGTCCCCAAGCAAGCTTTCCTAAGTCCACAAACCCTGGCACGGACCCTCTCCAACAGCGAGCGTGACCCCCTCCCTCAAGCTAGTGTCCAGAAGTTGGCGTCCCCACCTTTCCTCAGACCGGCTACCAGAAGTGGACGTCCCTCCGAATCAAGTCCCGAGTTAAGATCACCCGTCACCAGCGCGTTCCTCAACTGGCTGGGCAAGCAACACCTGGCTCTGCGCAGATAGAGACTGTGGGCTCGATTCCCCGTCCCGCACCAGCCCTACCTGTCCGGCCCAGGTGCGCAGTGCTCACGTCAGCGCCTCGCCCCAGGACGCTGTGGCCCCCACCGCCGTAGGCCACGCCCCAAGGCGTGACCACGCCCTTCTACGTTCATGATTGGCTGGTTGGGAGAAACCTGATACTCTGCGTTCCTGGGCGGCCCCGCCCCGCCCAGCCCAGCCTTTTCCCCACTGCACCCCCTGCTTATGAACCCGGCTGAGAAAATTCCTAGACCTAAACCTGGGCTTTTCGCCTCGGGGTCGGTGGTCTTGGGAACTGGAAGCGACAACTAGGAGGTCACATCATAGTCGAGAAGGTGCCTCTCCTCCGTCTTGCCCCACAGTCACCCTGCAGTATTGAAACAGTTAAACACAAATAAAGGTTTAGAGAGTCTGGTTGGCCCTACTCTCCGCTCGGCCTGGGTAAGTGGAATGGGATGGGGGCAAGACATCCAAGATACTTGGGCCCTTCTGGGGGACGCCCTGGAGCTTCCAGAGCAAGAATTCTGCCTTTACTCTGCTTCTTACCCGCGTGACCCTGAATAAGTTACTTAACTTCTCGGTTTCAGTTTGTTGATTTATTTTAAAAGAATAGTGTGCCTTTTCTAGTCACTATCCTGTAGTGATTAAAGCATGGCCTCTGGAGCCAACTATTTGGGTTCAAACCCCAACTCCATCAGTTACTACAGACTTGAGAAAGTTCCTTAAGCTCTCTGGGCCTGCAGATGAAGCAAACAGTACCCATCTCAAACGTGTGTTGTGGGAATTCAATAAATTACTTCATATAAAGTGCTTGGAACAGAATGTGGTGCTTAACAAGTGCTATATAAATACTTGCAATTGTTATCAGTGTAAGGATAAAAAGTACCATATAGACAGTGCCACACAGAATACGATGACATCTCCTGTTATTACCTGAAATTCAAAGCCTGTATGTCCCCTAATAGGTGCTTAATAGTTTCTTCACCTTTCCCACTGCAGTGAACTGCAGTCCAGACAGAGTGTATGCTTACAGTGTGTTGTGTACCAGTCCCTAAGACCCCAAGGCACTGAGCTGTCATGGGTAAGAAGGGACATAAATGGGATATTAGGTTTTGGAGTTTAAAGCAATAAATGAGAGACCATGAGGGACTGGTGTTGGGTTGAATTTTGACCCCCCTAAATTAAGAGATAGAAGTCCTAGAACCCCTAGAATGTGACCTTATTTGGAGATAGAGTCTTTACAGAGGTAATCAAGTTAAAGTGAGCTCATTACAGTGGTCCCTAATCAAATATAACTGGTATCCTTATAAAAAAGGGAAATTGAACACAGAGATAGATGGTCATAGGAGGAAAGATGAGGCAAAGAGACACAGTAATGAGATGACCATCTATAAGCCAAGAGGAGGGGCTGGAACAGATCTCAGAAGAAACCGACCTTAACAGGTATCTTGATTTTGGACTTCTAACCTCCAGAACTGTGAGACAATACATTTCTGTTAAGACACCCAGTTGGTGGCTTTACTTTGTTTCCATGGCCCTAGCAGACTAATACGGGTAGGTTGGAGAGCTCCAGATTGGTAATAATGTGGACTTAATTCCAGTTCAGTTTAGGGACATAGCTAGCAAAGGCCTGGGAAGTCAGCAAGGCCCTGTGTCTGACTCAGCCAGCCTGTCTCAGCCACTGAATGTGGCTCCACTTCCCTTTATGCAGAGGAAGGGCTGTCTCATCAGCACAGTCAGCTCTGTCCTGGTGATAACTACTGGACAGGCAGATCTGGCCCAGGGCTGGGCTCCTCGGACCAAGAAAGCAGTCCAGGTGTGTCTGTGATGACTGGGGAAAGACCACCAGGAGACTGTCATTGAGGGGAGCCAAAAGCCCAATGGCATACACATGAGCCTACACACAGGCGTGCACTTTTGCACTAGCAGAAATTCCCATAACTAAGGTAATTTCTTAAGGATCTTCTTTAGAAGACACATGTTTTAGAATAAGAAATTCAAGGGAGAGGGCTCTTCACATCCTCTAGTCTAGGAGTGATACCGGCTTAGAGATGTCTGACTCACACAGTATTTTACTTCACATAAACACCCAGATTCTCAGCATCTCTTAAAGAGTCAAATGCTCTGGACAGCCTGGGCCAGCAGTTCCATCTGGCAACAGCTACCCATTTAGAGGGAGTCTACCTATTACAGTCTGGACAACCCCACCCTATTGGACTCACTCATTTACTTTAATTGCCTGACCCTGTAAGCATATGCATTTGCAGCCTCTAATCCAAATTCCCCCTTTTTATAGGTAAAAAACCTGAGGCCCAAGGAGGTCAAATGATTGACCCAAGGTCACAGAGCATATTGGCCACAAAGTCAAGACTAGAACCCAAGCACAGGGCTCTTTCCACTTGGACCCTGCTCAGCACCCAAGCCAGAGTCTGTTCTGACTAGCACTGTACTGGTTGTTAAATATTAAAAAGAAACACCCATGTATGTAGGCACTGATACCATGGTGAACAAAACAAAGCCCCAAGTTTCATGTCACTCTACTGAAGAATCAATGGAAAGAAGACAAAGCTGGAGGAATTATAAGGTAGAGTGAGTAAGGTAGAGATAAGGAGGAACTTTCTGGGTCTTCAAATGATGAAACCTGGCAATAGGCCACCCTGAAGTCATCTTTGCTTGAGACACACCTTATCTGGCGAATAAGAACATCTTGTTCTTCTATGGAGGAATCAGTTCTGTGTTCTCAAAAGAGGCCTCTTGGGATTCAGACGTTCCGCTGTGGCTTGGGCCTTGAAGTTCCCATCACCTTGTCCTCCATCCCTCC